ACCAATCAGCGTGCGTTTGACTTAGTGAAGGCGTGTGTAGAAACTCACTGAAGCATCCGGCGAAGGGCCTTAGACCTCCCCCTGGCCATAGCTGGTACCCAGCCAGTGAATCTAACCACCGATGCCTCCCTAACCGGGGCAAGTGGAGTCCTGTCGCAGGGCAGAGACTCACAGACGTCCAGCATAGTGGCATTCTGGTCAGGGAAGTTCAACACCGCGCAACAGAACTATCCCGTAGATGAACAAGAGTTGTTAGCCATTGTCAAATCACTCAAACGGTTTAGACACTTACTTATTGGTCTCAAGTTCCAGATTTTTACTGATCATAAGAGTTTGGAGTGGATATCTACCCAGTCTAAGCTTTTGCCTAGACAAGTGTACTGGTTGGAGGCTCTCAGCGAGTTTGATTTTGAGATCAAGTACCTACCTGGTGAGGACAACGTCCTGGCCAATGCTTTGTCACGCATGTACAGCAACGAGCCTAAAGGTACAGTGAGATCAGCCAGCGAGTATGTGAGCGTTGAAGAGGACAACATACCTAATGTGCTGCTCCTTCACTTTGTTACAGCCCCAGTCTACACTGGATCTCCCCTATTCCTTGGTGCAACAGAAGTGTGGCGCTCTGCGCGCATCACTAGTCAATGCGTGACTGGGGGTGAAGCAGGTGGTGACCACGGTGCCAGCCTATTGAGCCAAGACACAAGTACCTCAGCCATGCCAAAGGTACCTGCCATGTCTGATAGTGTACCTGTGCAAAGACACATTCAGCCAAACGTAAGTCAACTCAAAGACTCACCTGTTCCCAAAGTCTGAAGAGTGACTCTGAAACTGGGAAAACCTCCAGTAGAGCCACTGGAGGGTGGGTTAGAGAACAGAAAACAAAAGAAGTCAGAAGCACCATCAAACGAGCACCCACAGAATCACATGCTATTAGACGTCATTGCCCAGACGCCTCCAAAGATCAAAGAAGCTTCAGAAGATGCCGGTCAGAAGCACATCCAAGACCAAGGCCAGACCGGTGACGTCATGGTCCAGCCTCTCGATCAAAGAAGTTCAGAAGCCGTAAGTTCAGACCCAGCTGAGTCAGCCGCAAAGGACATTCTATCAGAGTCCCCACCATCCTTGACGTCTGTAATAGCACTCGGCGACCCGTCTGTCGACATACACAACAGAATCATTGGACAGTACCATGAAGACAAATTCTTCTCTGGAATGCTAAACCAACCGCAGAACTTTAAGAACTTCGAGACAAGCAATAACCCCATCTTCCTTAAGCGTGATAACCAGCGTACTCTCTGCATCCCAGACATCATGATAGGCAACCGCCGTATCCGCAAAGTGTTGATATCTCACGCGCTGTTACAAGTAACATCGGCTACATGGCCCCCCTATCATTTTTCCCCTTCGTCCTCGCCCTCGTATGCCTCCAGCTCGTACTTCTCTACCGACTATCCGTTGACCGGATCCTCGGGACCGTTCCCGTCCCTCATCCCCCTCCTATCGCACCAACGTGCGCACGTGCCTTCGGGCTATGACTCATTCTGACTCGTGCCACCAATGTGGCTTTCCTTATCTTGTCTTATCTTTCCTCTGACTCATGCGTGCTGCGCATTGTATCATTTACCGTTGGCTCGTTCCAACGTTTCTCGGTCTCATTCCGCATTCGACCTCACATCACTAATCAGGCTCTGCTACCAGTGTACCTATACCCTTTCCGTTTCCCCTTTGCCCTTACCTACAGTACGGTAGCCTTGCCCTTAACCCTTTCCACTTAGTATAAGTAGTCGGTCACTCTGTACTAGATTCCCTAACTTGAATCTACTCAATCTTCCCTCGAACATACTTCCCTCTGAAGCCCCCTCAGCTTCAGTCTCTAGTATCTTTTCTTAGGTGCTCATCGCGCCTAAGTCTACCTCGATCGACTACTCATTGTTCGGACAAAGACTGTCCTTACTTTGAGAATGTCAGTGACTTTGAAGACATCCGTCTTAGAAGTCACGTGACACGCGCGTCTCTGATATCTGCCGACTCGTCGTCGCCAGTCTCAGTCGCTACACCGGACCCTTCCGGTTACGTCACGAACATTAGCGGACGACGCCCCTCTTAGGGCTCCGCATAACAGATCTATTTGAGTGCGTAACACGCGCACTCCATCTTAGCTCACTTGGGTCCATCAAAGACACTCACATACTTAAGAGAGAACGTCTGGTGGAAGGAGATGGTAGCTGACATTAAGGCTTTTTGTGAGTCTTGCTCAACGTGTCAAATGTCGAAGCCGACTAACAACCTCCCATACGGACTCCTCGAACCACTCGAAGTCCCAATGCGACCCTGGGAAATGATTGGCATTGATTTTGTTGGACCTCTTCCCGAATCTCGCACTCTAAATGGAGTCTTTGACATGATGCTTGTCGCCATCGATCACCTAACTGCAATGGTGCATCTCGCGCCAACCAAGCAGATGTACCGCACCCGTGATATTGCAGAGGTAATATTTAACTCTGTGTACAAACTACACAGAATTCCAGCGCGCATCGTCAGCAATAGAGACTCACTATTCACCAGTATCTTCTGGCAATGACTCCATGAACTCACCAGCACCGAGCTTCGTATGTCGACATCCTTTCACCCCCAAACTGATGGAATCACTGAATGCGCCAATCATACTATCACGCAGATGCTTAGGCAGTGCGTGTCCCCCAATCAGCAGGACTGGGCCATCAAGCTGCCCTCAATTGAATTTGCCATTAACTCAGTGAGCTCTGCCACAAGACTCTCCCCACCTTTCAAACTCATCTACGGAATGATGCCCCCCTCGATGATTTGGAACACCAAGTGTGAGTATCCTGGAGTCCACGTCTTCGCTCAATGTATGAAGGACTCGGCCATGGCCACACATGATGCCATTATTGCTGCCTGGGTCAAAAGTACGTCCTCGACGAACTGGAAGCGCAAAGAGGTGCCCTTCGTTAAGGGTGACCTCGTCTATCTATCTACTGAGAACATCAGCCTGCCGAAAGGATGCGCTAGGAAACTCACACCCAAGTATATAGGCCCGTTCAAGATCTTAGAAGACTACAAGAACAACTCCTTCTTACTGGACCTGCCATCCGACCTTAAGCAGCAGGGCCTTCACCCCTCATTTAATGCTCACCTCCTACGGCCTCACGTGCCCAATGACGATAGGCGATTCCCCGGTCGGCAACTCGCTCAGGTTAGCGATATTGGTTGCCTAGAGGAATGGTCCATTTCCAGAGTGACGGATCACCATGGGCAGGGCACTGACTCTCTTTTTGAGATAGAATACTCTTCTGGCGACTGGGTATGGCTACCATTCCATGAGGTCTCCCGTCTAGAGGTGGTCTCCCAATACCTCGAAGGACTTGGAGTGCCCGGCATCAAGCACTTGCTGAAGAAAATTTTGGGCCCCTCCCATGAGGTTAGTGTTGCTACCATGAATAATTTCACGGATGCTCATGACGTGGTATTCAGACTTGTCGACTGACTACTGGTAGATCTCCCTCCTCTACTCAGCTTTAGCCCTTGCAGAGGGTACTTAAACTCTAGTCCATCCTTACCTCCACTGCTCAGATTCCCCACAGTTCCTCCTGGTAATCCCTCCTGCCTTTCTCCTCCCATGGCTACCAATGCCCCCAGAGGGAACTTCGTCCGTCGTCGCGGAGGGTGTAGAGACTGAGGTCAAGCTCCCCCACTTGAGCACCCCAACTCTGACGCCCTCAACACATTTATGCGTTTCTTCATGGCCAAGGCTCAAGCCAAAGAGTTGGCCACCAGGAAAGAAGTGCATGCCTTTGAGCAGCACCTTCATTCTGAGCGCGACCGGGACCGCGATTTCCGCCACCGCCCTAATGGGCGTGATCGCGAATATGTTAGGCATTGTCAGCATGAAGCCACCCACTTCGCTAGTTGTTGTGCGCCGCCTTCTATTCACCAGATGTTGGACAACCGCCCTGTCCGCAGACCTAGTCCACCAAGGATGCAACCTCACGAGGTTCCCCTTCCCCAATCCTCTTCCATGTCCATTACTCCTCCCCCTTCCCTACCATTGCCTGCCTCTCCTTCTCCTCCTGCGGATCACGCTGGTGACCTAGGCACAGATATTGACTCGCTTATTGCTGAGTCCGAGCAAATGGACTTGGAAGCAGAGGCTCGCCGCCATGGCTTCACGGCTGAAGAGCTCTTTGGTAGCATCTTCCTCCTTGGACTGTTGACCATCATTAACATTACCCTCCTCGTCCTCCTAGCAGTTATGGGTACCATGAACATTGAGTCTGCCCCTGCTTCTCTGGCTTCATAGGCCCCTACAGTATATTTTCGGAAGGTCCTCTTTAGATGACCTGAAGGGCGTATGTAGTGTTCCTAAAAGCCTTCATCGTTACAAGGCAACATCTCCCCATAGTTTCTCTCATTTTCTTTATTATTCCTTACTCTACAGTATATAAGGCTCCCTTGATCTACTGTTAGAGTAGTTGATCTTTCCCCCACTGAATAACATTTAGTTCAGACAGTTCTCTCGTCTGAAATAAGTCTATTCACTAATCGACTCTATTGTGTAAACATTCTACAAACGCCACACAGGCCTCATACAAATCAATCTCATCCAAGCGCGATCCAACCACACAACACCATCTCCTTATGCAATTCGTTGGCATTGCAACTCTCTGAACAAAGCACAAACCTCCAAAGCCCTCCCTCCCATCCTGCGAAGATGCAAACTGTTGGCGGTCGCTCGGCACGGAAATAGTACATGGTCGACGAGCATGTGTCGATAAGCATGAACATATATCCCAGTCCACTCTTCGCTTGTTCCTTCGCATCCTTGTATTGCTCGTCTGAACCTATCCGCCTCGCGAATTGTTCTGGCTTCAAGAACAGTGAACCGCTCAGAGTGAAATAAATCCTTGGGAAGTGTTTCATGGTACCCCCGTATAAGTGACTCTCTACCGTTTCTCTATCAACCACTTTTTGACCCCAATCAATCACGGCTGCTTGGTGACTATAGGCCCAGATTTGCTATAAAGAAACATTTGAGGGGATAAAAACAGGAGGAGTCTGATGCCAATGAGTATGAAGCCTTCTGCCAGTGCTTTGCTGGTCTTCACCGGTATAAGACATAAACCAATGATAATGAACGACCAGGAGAAATACGGGATGTAACTGACAATCTTCCTCCTCAATGAAAATGTCGTCGAAAATGGAACCTCCGGGAAGTCCTTCCATCTGATGGCTGCCACCCGACAGCCATCCAAAACGAGAGCTCTGTTCTCCGTCACACCAGTGACATGGATCTCCGGAAGGATGTCCCAAAGATTCGCGTCATAGATATCATTGTCAGCGTACCAGCACGCCCCTGCGGTGGTGGTTGAGGGAAACATGGACACCATGTGGTCGCTATCGTTGGCCATTGACAACCTCGTGAGTGCACATAATTGATCCTCATCGTGGTTTGGCTGAATGCGGTGCTCAAAAAAGCCCATGAGCGCATAAACGTGTTCCGCTTTGTGTGGCTTATGCCCCTCGCCGGTGACAGACCCCCTGCCTACCATGTACGACTTTGGCAGGAGAGGAGGGTCCGAAAGTGTTGGGAAATTTGCCATAGCGCGCCTCCATATAGCTTTTTTCAATAGCATCAAGTGCTCCAGCCTCTCAAGTGGATCCTTCCCACCGGCGTGTGCATTGATAATCGCTTGTTCATCTTCGGAGTTCATATAGGCCAGGTTTGCGAGCTGAAACAACGACAACGGCTCAACCTCTTCCCGATCCCAGAATTTGTAACAAAGCCGAGAGCTCAGGAGGGCTTCTGAAAAAGTCCATACCCGTCCGCCCCAGCTCATCCAGCACTCCTTCTCTCTGGAGTCAGCTCTCCTGAGCATGATCAACATCATCTCCGCTCTACAGTAGACGTCTGACATGCAGTACACATCCAGATTCTCCTCTGATGGAGTCTCTCCCGGACACTCCAAGTCGAGCCAGTAGGCATTGAATTGCTGGTCGAGGACCGCCACACGAATGTCATCTGTAAACTGTGCCTTTTCTTTCTTCTCACTCAAGCCTCGAGAGTAGACGTCAGAGGCGCAGTAAGAGATGGCGATGTATTTAGTGTGGATGATGATATTGCGATCTACGCATCGAACCCACTCATTCTTGTTTGGGTTGCAGATCATGAGAATTCGAGGGTAACAGGCATGTGTACGGGTAATCATATCAGCTTCCTCTTTAATGCGTGATGAATGCTCCATGCGAGAACGAGCTGCCCATAGCTGACCCTGAAACTGGCGAAGATACGGTTTGTAGTATCCTGTGTTATACGACGAATCAGTGTCATCTTCAAAGTCACCACTACCAGTATAGAGAAACAGGATGGTTGGCCACAATAGCTTCAGTGCAAACCATACTGATTTTCTGATCCACTCGAAAATAATCCATCCTTTGAAGGGTGAATGGGTTACCAGCCATATGGCGAGTTTGCTGATATGATTGGCATTATCCTTGAGGGGAACTTCGAATTTGCCAGAGGGTGTGACAGCTTGCACAATGAACTTTCGGCAGATGCCAGTGGTAGGGCTGATTTATCTTTGCTCTTGACCATGCGTTGTCAATATTCCTATATCATTGGAGCAAGTGACGTCTGGCTCATGATTCGCGAGTTGGAGCCACTGCATTCTAACTGTTCCTGTAAAAGTGTCAGTCTGATGATGAGTGTGAAGACTACAGGACCTTCGAGCTGTGAACTGGACTCACAGTGAGGAGAGCGTCACAAGCGAGGCGTTACTTCTCACAGCGATGTCCCAGTGTTACCTTTATATATTTCAGATACTGTAACACTGTGGATTTGTAGGTCGCACATGACATACTGCCATAGCAGTTGCAGAGTTAAAAATCTCGTCTAATCGGACCTTGAGATCCTGAACAGGATACTATCAAGCGGCGACAGTCATCAAATGCCTGTCATATAATGATGTCAGAGTCACATAGCCCTGAGCAACTTAGTTCAAACATTCTTGGGCACAATTTTCATTTACCAGTAGCACCAGTGGGGTTAATGTTTTAGCTGCATATTTCTGTGATGTACAGCAAGGTGACAGGTATAGATTGATTGCGGCAGAAGACAATGAGAACATCTGGACATGAGCAGGAAGGTGGCACAGCAGCGAAAAAAAATAGTTGTCAATCTTGTGGTCATTTTTTTCCGATTGTGACAACATACCTCCTACACTTTGAGTGTTGACAGATTAATGCCATCCTGCCATTCGCTGTGACAGAATTTGAGAAACCCTGTCAGTTGCAAAAGGTCTGAGGCAGAATTTGACAGAATTTGAAAAGATACTTACCAACCACTTGTGACGTGCCACGGTTGAGTTTATGTGCCATCCACTTCAGAGATATTTGATGGGCGCAATCTTATGCAGATAGGTGTGGCTGTTCTTCTCGTCTTGTTGTAGATGTACAAAGATCAGCTCAAAATAATAAGATTACGTTGCCTACCGATGGTGACTAACATATTGCTATCAGAGTTTGGACTCGTTGAACATTGTATCCCTGTTTGGTCACCTCAGGCAGCACTTCTCGGTGCCTATAAAGGGTCTAAGAGACCTGGTTTCTATGTTATGGGAAACTAGTCTCTGAGACCCACCCTCCCGCCATCTAATTATAGTTCTTGCGCTTGTATTCTTTCCCGGGCCTCCAGCACCTCCCTGTGCGCCTCCATAAACCCTCACAATAGGCCTCTAGCACTACTTTATCCACCATCCAATCATAGTTTGTGCTCTCGCAATCCCTTGCGGGCCTCCAGCACCTCCCTGCATGCCTACATGAACTCTCCCAATCCTCTAAAAGTGCTATACTAGTACTTCATCCGGCATCTGAACTCTTAGGCTTTTATCTACACTGTCTGTCATTTGGTTTTCACAAGGTATGTCACAGTGTGCTTGCGTGGCACTGTCATGATGCTTAAACAATTTTAGTTCAAAAATCTTCGCAGTCTTCCTCCCACCATCTAGCTCATACTCAACTAATCTCATGTCTACCTCGTCCCTCCTCACCTCTTGGCATCTCATTGTCCTCCTCCTGCGCACATTGATACCCTCCGCTCGGCACCTCATTGTCCTCCTCCTGTGCACATTGATACCCTCCACTCGGCACCTCATTGTGCTCCTCTCGACACCTTGTTGTCCTCTTCCTGCGCACCTTGCTGCCCTCCTCTCCTCACCTCTGTCCTCCTCCTGCGCACCTTGCTGCCCTCCTCTTGGCACCTTGTTGCCCTCCTCAGCACCTCGCTGCCCACCTCTCGGCACCTCGCTGTCCTCCTCTCGGCACCTTGTTGCCCTCCTCAGCACCTTGTTGCCCTCCTCCTGCACACATTGTTACCCTCCTGAGCACCTTTTTGCCCTCCTCCTGCACACATCATTACCCTCCTGAGCACCTTGTTGCCCTCCTCCTGCACACATTGTTACCCTCCTCAGCACCTCGTTGCCCTCCTCTCAGCACCTCGTAAGTGTCTCGCAGCTTGAGCCCTCTCTATTATCCATGTCTATGCTTTTGTGATCGAGTTAGAATAGGTATTACTCATACTGCTACCATGCTGCATCCACGTGTACTTAATACAGATATCATGTTAAATACAGTTACAATCTACCAGTAGCGCACTCACCATTCCCCAGCAAGAATGCACCGGGCAGATCAAGTATCATCCTCCACCTGGGGGCTTGCGAAACATTTTGTCAGTCCCTGCAAGTCTCGAGACAAGAGAAAAACTCAAACCTTTGTCAATATCCCTGGCGCAGATGTCAAACACCGTCAGCTTGCCCTACACATGCAAGCACTCATCGATCCAACCTCACCAGATGCCACTGTTGCTGCTGTACTTGATTCCAGCAGTTCTAATGCTGATGTGACCATGGACATATTGAATGATGACAACGAATGGGTATATGAATCAGACCACAATACACCTGAACCTCATCTACCCTCTTTGAGTCAGTGTGACATATCAATTGAACCCCAACGCCGCACCCTTCCTGACAAGGCATCCCGCAAGCTCTATGGAACTTGGACGGAAACTATCCCCACCCTAATTGGACCTCTCTTGATGTATCTTGCAAGAACTGTCGGACAGCCGCTTAAGAAGTTGGATTCCATCATATCTGCATGCACCACCCATTCATGCACTCAAAAGCACACAATGATTGTTTGTCTCTTCTTTTGACCATAAGTGTAGTCAGACTTGTCATCCAGGCTTACTACTACTATTCAATTCAGGATTTGTCTCAACCGATGTCCTAAGCTGTGATTGCTCTACACTCCCACAAGTTCTCATCCATCATGGCTTATTTCCCACTGTGCCCTTGCAGCCAAGGATAGCAGTGTCTCTTGAACTGCTGTCCTTTCATCGAGCCCTATTTGAATGTTCATGTGACACTGTCAATGCACTTGCAGCTGCATTGAAAACTCATTATGCTCAACGAGGGTTCCAATTAACAGACTCACATGTAAGCATATGCTTCAAATGCTCGTGATATTGCTAACTCTCTGAGTTACAGGGAAACATCATTCAGGAACCTTTCAGAAGAAGTCTTGGAAGTGCTGTTCAGTGGTATGATATCCTCCAGATTGAGATGGAGCGGAAGATCGAAGCAGCAATTCTGCAAGCTCGTTATCAAATGCATGCCTCTTACGAGCCCTTACTTCCCTCTCATGAACCTTCAATGCCCTCCCACGAGCCTTCGACACCCTCTCATAAACCTCTGATGACCTCTGATGAACCTCTTACGACCTCTTGTGAACCTCTGATGCCCTCTCGTGAACCTCAAGCTTCTACCTTGCACAAAGGGCATTGTGCATCAATCCTTGTTGACCGCTGTCCGGCTTGTTTTGCAGGAGTAATGTATGGCTGACCACTAGATCGAGGAGGTGACATTCATGTTGCTACAGATGGCAACTTTCATCACCATCACCAGTGCTCAGCTGGTGACTGCCCTCGTTTCTATGAACCGACATACTTTCTACCAAAGATGTATGTTGATCAAGTAGGCTCTAGGATAGATAAGAAAAGGAAGCACTTGGTTGCAACACAGACTCCTAGCATCATACCTAATGAGGCCATCGACCAGTGTGAGAGTTCCTATGAAGCTGCTGATGGAAAAAAGCAGAAGGCTGCTATGGATAGTTTTGATGACACTGGTTTGATGGCACTCATTTGCCATCATGATATTCCCCTATTTTTCACAAACATCGATACACCTGGTGAGCAGCAGAAGTATGCTGTTGCTTTACTTGAACATCTGTTCTTGCTTCTCCCTACCAACACCACAGTTATTGCTTTGTATGATGTCGGCTGTGTACTATCTCGCTCACTTTCACAGGTATGCTTCATGATAATTGATTAGTATGCTTATGCTTAACATCTTGCAGTATGATATTCTAGACACCTCTATCACTTCACAACTCCGCTTTGCAACAACTGCTATGCATGCCTATGGACATGAGTGGGGATGCCAGCTTGTCTACAATCCTCATATGTGCAGAGGACTTGGTTTATCAGATGGAGAAGGCACTGAGTGGCTTTGGTCATGACTTGTGCATCTGATTGATATTCAGCGGTCATCATCAGTAAGTACATCATTTCTTCACGTAAGTTTACAAATATATTCTCGCATGTTTCAGCGTCAATGACATCTGTGGCTTATAGATCGCCAAGCAGCCTCCATAGGAGCTGAGATGTGTGTGGTGTAGAAACAACAATACTGAGAGGAACAAATGATGCTCCTGACTGTATCTGTAAATAGTTGTAAGGTCGTGCGTTGCCTAGTCTGTGTTACTTGAGGAGACAAGTGCATTCAACCCTAAAGGGGAAGCAAGTGGAGCGAAGATCTAGAGGTACGCGCTGAAGCGAAGCGCGAGAAAGCGCAGGTGCGGGAACACACACACATATTAGCGCGAAGTGCAGGAAAGCGCACGTGTGTGTGCGGAAATGATAGAGAGACTAAGCTTAAGTCATAATATAATGCAAGATAAGTGAAGAGAGATGCGAAGTGTTAATGAATAGATTTCTACTGTGACTTTCTAGGTATTAAGTATGTAAGTAAAGTTGGGTGAAAAGGTAAGTGAAAGGTAGGAAAGGTAAGTGGAAAGTAAGTCAAAAGTCAGGTGCCAAGTCAGTATGTACTGCTGGTGCTTATATAGCGCGCCTAAGCGCTGTCATGCGGAGCCAAAGCGCTACCGAGTAGGTATGTAGAGATATATATAAGTAAGGGTCCATGATAAAAATAAAGTGGAACAAATGAGAGAAACAGAAATATACGCACTAGAGAACTTGGAGGACAGTGGATGGATGCATCTGGATGGCTGGCGCTATGGGGCGCTCAAGCGCGGGAAAGCGCGTGCGCATATACATCAGGAAGCGCACAAATGGTGCGCACATGGCGCGCGTTGCATGGGAAAGCTGCGCCTTGTATAGGGATAGCTGCGGGTAGCGCATGGAGTGACGCTACAAGTTCATGCTATGTACTCCTTGGTGGAAACTGCCATATCACGCCATGAGAGGCATGAGTCTCTACAGCGGACCTTGGTGATTGGGTCAAGCGACGCATTCGTGGCATCAAGACTCAATCCAATGCTGCACAGGACATCCTTACTACCTGTGGTGTCTCTATTGAAGAGCTACGGTTGTTGTGGGCTCATCAGCAGTGTTCACAACTATCTATTCGTGCTCATAAGTGGTACTTGTTCATTTTTGTAGTCACTGATTGACTTTTTATCAGATGCTCCTGCACATCTTAAAAAGGAACTGGATACAGTTCTTGCATTGCAGGCTGATATGGTCGCATCAGATCAGGCCCTACAGACCACCCGCACCATGCTTGAAAAGGAGACAGCATTGGATGACACTATGAATGCTTTGGACGGTCTTGAGAAGGGCCATCAGTGTCTCATGGAGAAGGTTGAAGCACTCTACGCTTCACTTAACATTCATGACAGGTTTCCTGAGCTTCAAGGTGTCAACCTTGATTTTCAGCTTCAACCACACTGGGCAACTCCATTTGTCTCTACAGCTTGCTTTTCTAGCTGTGCCAAGGAAGCTGCAGACCTCTCAAAGACACTTACGCGAGGTGCAACTGAAACTAACCTTAGTTGGATAAATCATCCTCTCACATTGGAAATTGATAATGAAGAAGACGACATTCCAGACTTCGAAGCAGGGCCATCAGATGTTGACACACATCAAATTGCATTTGTTGACTTCCTTGAAGAAGATTCTGTTGCTAATGAGGATATAGAAGACATTGCTGAAGTGGGAAAAGCTAGTGTTACCATCTGTTGGGTGGTTCCTGAGGTATGTCATCAATTACTACCTTCTTTGCTTTTTTGAAACCATTGACAGGTGCTCCAAGTTGATCGTGTACCTGTGCCTCGCAAGGATCAGAGCATCACTGTGCAACAGCCAGGTGCGACTAGGATATGGGCCTCTCGATACGGCTTTCCTCGACAAATATTCGATCCAAGGGATATCTCCTTCCTTGGTTCCCCTACTGCACGTCTCAATGATGTATGCATCAACGGTTGTGCAATATTACTGCATGATGCGCACATGTCCACTCCTGCAGCACAGCGCATTGCCATTCTGTCTACTCATGACCTCCCACATATCCAATACAATGCACCTGATGACGTCCTCTGGCGTCAAACTTCCTGGACACATTATTAGGAGAAGGAAGTATGGATATTGCCCATTCATTGGTGAGCTCCTGTTGGTCACTGGGTACTCTGTATTATTTACTGATCCTCTAGGGAATTCCATCTATTTGACAGTTTTGCTGAAGAGCGCCCTTGGCAACTTGATATCAAGGTGAGGGCTTAGCCATCATGAAATATAGGGGAATGCTAACACCATTCACATAGGCCATTATGACACTTGTGTCTTGTCTACTAACCATTGCTCGTCAACACCACCCTGCAGTACAACTTGATCTTCAAGGATGGCACACTTGTCCACTTATGGTAAATCAAATTATCATGAAGTCTGAGTCCTCGCTAACTACATTCTCTAGCTCAAACCTCTTCAGACGAATGGTTATGACTGCAGAGTTTGGGTACTAGCTGGAATTATGGCAGTCTTACAAGGTTTTCATCTCACAGGCTTGTGTGAGGATGGTATGGAGAGCTTCCGCCATTTACTATATTGCCGTGTTATCGAACTCAATAGAATGTAGATAGCCATAGTTCCATAAACATAGATAAAATGAATCGAAGAATTAAATTAAACAGATAGAGATCTCTATTGCTCTAGTACCGGAACAATGCTTCTACGGACAAAGTGTACTAATCAAAGGAATAGACAAGAGGCCACAGAGGGCCAGTTAATCATGCCAGATGCAGGATGCCCCACATCGGCACCTGGTGCAGGATGAATCAGCCTTCAATGAGTCTCCAGGGTCAAACAGAGATGATACATACAAGAGGCCAGAGGGCTGGCTGATCATGCCAGGTGCAGGATGCCCCACATCGGCACCTGGTGCAAGATGAATCAGCCTTCGATGAGTCTCTAGGGTTAAATGGAGATGATACATACAAGAGGCCAGAGGGCTGGTTGATCATGCCAGGTGCAGGATGCCCCACATCAGCACCTGGTGCAAGATGAATTAGCCTTCGATGAGTCTCCAGGGTCAAACGGAGATGGTACATACAAGAGGCCACAGAGGGCTGGTTAATCATGCCAGGTGTAGGACGCCCCACATCAGCACCTGGTGCAAGATGAATCAGCCTTCAATGAGTCTCCAGGGCAAACAGAGATGGTGCATACCAATAACCATGAATGAGGCACTTGTGAGCTTTCCAATGCACCTTACCTTGGCAAATTGATGCCTCAAAGTTTGGCACTGATTGTGCAAAACGAGTCAATGGTGTACAGCAGGACAAAAAATGACATAACTTGTGACACTGTATTGGGAGGACCATGCCCTATGTTTGTTTGTTCACATGGTGGTGTAAGACCTGAAGCGGATATGTGGTTGCTTCAAATGATTGGAATGGATAGAGTCCGGACCAAACAACCGAGGTCACAAGTGTGACACATCACATTCCTGATTTTTCCGGTAGTCTGCGCTCAACTTGCGCCACTCTCATCATTATTAATATCAATCTCAATGATGCCTTCTGAATCTACTTGAAAATCCAATATCCATGCACGGTGTGCAGTTTCAATGTCACTCTTGTCACAGCAGACCTCGCAGGAGGCTATGAAAAACTCGCCAAGCCTCCAGAGCCTCCAGAAATAGGCGCCGTGAAAACTGGCAACCCTCTTGAGACTCCCTAGTAACACTATATGCTTACTATGTCCGGTAAGTATTGGGCGCTGACTCAGACACTGTGCTTCTTCGAAGTCCCAAACTTTGAGCTTCTTTTCGAACTTGCTATGATCATCCTTTTCCCAGAGTTTTCTTTGCCCCATAGTTACATTATCGATTGATCTACAGGCTAGAGCTGGCACTTTCATACATACCGCTTCATTGCCTCCAGCAAAATGGCCACAACCACCAGCACAACAAGACCATCGCACTTCGTTGATGCTGCCACACTCACAGACTCGCAATTGTTTCTAGTCACTCGTATTGTAAGTACTGGTGGTTGTATGTTCAGACTTTGCTGACCTGCTTCTAGTTGGTGGATGTGGCTGTGTCAACAGAGGACACTGAAGTCACTGAAGGCTCTCGAGTTGGTGAGGAATGGAGGAGGCTTGATGGTATACCTTGTATTATGGGTGGGCTAAGGGCGCTCATTGGTAAGATTAATCATCTCACATTCATACTGATCTTGACATGATTTCAGCATCACTCAGTGGGACCCTGCATGGGCGCACCACTGCTGACTTCCCCTGGAAAACACTCCCCAAAGAATTAGCTTGCCTTGGGTATGTCCTCGCTAATTACCCTGAAGACACTTTGATGCCCGGCGAGCTGTGACCAACTCTCTCTCGAAGCAAAGGCATCCATGACCTGACCCACCAACATCACGTCAATCTCATCAATTGTCTCAAAGCAGGCACCCTCACCATCCGAGCAGTTACAAGTGATGCTGCCCATACACGGCTTACCACCTCCAAAGACCCTGTTGTCATTGGGGACGCCCCCTTGGCTTGCTCCACACACTCCCGTGGGCGACATGTTTTCGCTGATGGCCGCATTGACCAAAAAGGTCTTCCCTGTCATCATGTCCCTTCTTCTTCACCCGCCTCTTCTATCTAAGATCAGCCTCACTTACCCACCTCTTCTTGTCGTGCCCAAGTCATTGTGGAAATAACGTGGCCGCCACCTCGGCCGGCTTCTCGAGCACTCCACAAGCCATCTACTACCTCCAGGAGAGATCTTATCCCAGCCATTGCTTCTATCCAGGGAGAATCCAGCTCTGAAGATGTTAGTGCTGATGATGAAGATGATTATGAGGATGAGGATCCCCAAGTTAGTGAGACTGTTGTTCGCCCTGCGAAACGCCTTAGACATTGTTAATACTAAATGTAAATAGTATATGTATGTAGCTCAAGAAAATCAGTGCTTGAGCTTCTGACCTAATTTTGACCTCCCATTGACACAAAGTAAAGTTTCAACATTATTATTTTCTCAATGCAATATTTAGTAACAAAAGTTCTTTCATTCAGAGCTCTCCGGAGCCTCTAAGAGGCCCACAAGAGGCCCACATTTCGCCCTCTACACCCTCCTCACCACTCTTGGGCCCTCATAATGTCTTGTACGTTGATTTTTGCTTGTGTATTTTTGCCTGTTGTCAACGTGATCTTTAGTAATCAATTTACTTCTCATTCTGAGCCCTTGCTGAAGCCTCCAAAAGGCCTACAATTCGCCCTCTACACCCTCCTCAGCCAATAGTCTTGGATCTTTGTAATATCCTGTACGTTTATTTATACTTCTATATTTCTGCCCGTTGCCAACATGATGTTTAGTAATCTATTCTGAGTCCTCTCTGGAGGCTCCAAAAGGCCTATAATTCGCCCTCTACACCCTCCTCAGCTACCACTCTCGAACCATTGTGATGTCTCATACATTGATTTTCGCTTCTGTCCGTTGTTCTAACTTGTTTGGTCTGAATAAAATTAAAAGCAGGCCACTCATAAGTATCAGGCTTCATGCCCTGTTTTTTTTCACCCACCTTCCGGATTCCCAGTTTCTTACCTAGTGTTTTGTGCATCTGTTCAAAATTCTGCCCTCTCAACCAGGTAAGCAATGCCTGTTACAGTGGCCCCATCATTTTCCCATCATCACCTGCAGGACTACGCATGTACTATACTTCTTGATCCCCGTCTCACTTCTAGCGCGCCTCATGTCGACCAGGAGGACTCTCCTTATCTCTGACTTCCTTTTCCTGTACTTCTACAATGCCTCATGGACTGGTCTGTGCACTTCTGTTCATGTATATAAACCCTCGCTACCTCTTGTACATTTCCTTAACTTGAATCTACTCAGTTCTCCCTGATACCTGATAAGGACCTGAGGGTGCCTCTGATCTAGCTCTTTGCGAAGAGACTAGCCTTTACTCAATCACTTCGCCAGAGTTCTACCTCTGGTCGTCGTTTACTTGAACCCGTACTCTTGATCTCCTTTATTGGAGTTGTTATGGAAGACTCCATCTGAGTTCGTAACAATGCCCTCTCAGTTCTCATTTGCACGAGGCCCATACTTATGATGCACTTAAACATCAGTCCAACTTGTGTTACTTGCATTAGTAATATGTTCTTATGTACTGTTGGTGAGCAACAACTTCATGGTCATGTTGACCTCAGCTTATGTGCATCTACTTTTCGTAGATCACCTACTCATTTGGATCAGCAAGTCAGGTAAGCATTTTCTTCATTATGTGTCATTTTTTCTGATCCTGTGCGAAGGCCATGATGCTTAATCTATCAGATTACTACTCTGACCCTCCCGACGACCAGGTGTCCTCACCTCCCCCATACCTTCCTGCATCATTGTCTGCTACTATGGGTTCTGGATATGCGCAGGAAGAATATGTTCAGGAACAGTTTGGAGGTGGTCGATATAAGGATACACCAACAGAACTCACTCCATCAAGACTGTGTAGCACCATCAAGCCAACATCGCGGGATGTTGGTATTGCAAGAGATGCTGCTATTTGACGTCAAGCGGCTTGCGCTCCCAGTGACCAGACCACTAACAGCTTCGTTGCTAGTAAGTCTTCATCAAAAACTTTTCTGCCGTACTTCTGACCTTACTTTTGCTACTAGATTCCATTCACTTTGCTGAAAATAGCCATCACAATACTCCTTTGGTCGAGGATGCACCTGTGCAGTGTTCTGTGCAGGTGCAAGATCTATTTGCCAACACTTTGGCACCCACTTGCCAGCAGCCGGCTATGCCTCAAAATACGGACGTATTCCACCAGCAGCCCCAGTATGGCACTCTAAATTCAGACTCCATGGCTCTGTACAACCTCACGATACCATCCAGAGCCCAACCTTTGTGGTCTGTGCCATCACCTCTGATGCAACACAAGGCTCCCAGCACCTCTCCCAGCCCTCTGGCTTCCTATTCTCAGTTACCAACATCGCCTCTTCTCATGCCTGCACTTGCAGGTCCAAGCTCACAGGGAGGTCTGCAACCTCAAGTGAAAAATGCCATGAATATGTGTGGGCCGGATTGGCCCTGGAATTTTTCGTCCATAGCGCCAGTAAACTCCTTGCCAGCTCAGGGAGCTGTGCCAAGAACACATATCATCCCGCCAACTCCCATCAAGCCTGCAGAACTTTTGGCTCCGTCTGCTGCCAGTGGGTCAAGTCAGCATGCAGTCACGTTCAGTACATCAACCGCTGAAGAATCTCATATCAAGTCTGACTTCACGATGGACAATGATGGTGCACCTGTTGGTGGTCGACATTCAGCAGAGACGAACTCTACACTCGATGAGGGTTTCGCTGTATTAGATACCATCGTCATTAACACTGCAAAAAATACGAACATGCCTTCCTACCAGGTAATCAACCTGTGGATGAAGAGTCGAGGTCAAGCAATCAACTCTACCAATTACTGGAACCTTTATGCAGGGTACTTCAAGGACCGCATGCGCCAGGAACTTGCAAGGCTCAGTGAAGATGCTCCTCCCCAGGATGGTTCGATGACACCTAGTAAGTGGTCCATTTATTCTGTGCGCTGTTTGCTCAATGCTGATCTTTGATTTGATAGGTGCTGGTGTTCGCTGTCGGTGCTATGAGCTCTTCAAGAATACCTACCCCGATTCTTATCAAGACATTCTCGATACCTACAAGGAACTCAACATGCTGTCTGATGCTCCTCAAACAATTGCACAGTGCACGCAAACATTCCAGAAGCTCTACAGGAGGGTAGGAAGTATTGTGAGTGATCTCATTCTAATTTCATAATATTTTCTTGATGAGCTGGATGTTCTATTTGCAGCTTGATGGAGCTGTGGCCAGGCAAGGTTTTGAGGCCACTCTCGTTATGTGTGGTAATATCGTCAATGAAGACTCATCACTCAGCCATATTCACATGATGCCCAGCGCTGGTGGCATAAGTGTTGCCCACCTCAAAATCTTTTCATATTTATTAATACCCTCCATAGTTCTTTGAGAAGCGCTGCCGAGCCAGTGATGATGCCATCATTGGGCATATGAAAGCCCATGTATACAACACGACCTCACTTGCTGCCGTGGAACAGGCCTTCAAGGCCACTGAAGGCGATCGAGAGCAGGTACCAATAGAGGTCCTGGATGTGAGTTCATCTGAGGCAGGTGAAGAGAAAGATGCATTGAAGTCGCTCAAGGCTGGGCTAATCAAACAAGTTGGTTCATAGCACGTCATGTCTCACAGCGACATTCTGACATTTTTCTTCAGCAGACCTTGGCAGCAAGTTCGCCGATAGGCCCTTCCCATAGATTCTGATGGCCAGTTCACTCACAAACGACCATCTACGCATCAAGGGCTACCCTGCGCACTTGAGTTTGATGCCGGGAGAGTCTCACAATACTAATTCACGAAGTAAAGGTGTTGCAGGACTTACACAACATGAGGTCAATGTGCTCGCTCATGCATTGAAGGTGAAGACAATGTGTGTTGTCAAAGTAACAAACGCTACCAAAGGTATGTCCCAATATTCTTGTGGGATCGCTTTAGCTCATAACGACTCGACAGCTGCTATCATAGCCTCCAAAGAGCCTGTCATCATTGGCGAGGCACCTCCTGTAGGCTCTCCTTTTCCGAATGTGAGGCGGATGTTTGTCAACAGAACCTTCGATTATAATGGCCCTCCGCACCTTCAAACCAGCTCTGCTGCAACCAGGAAGAAGAAGCCAAAGGTCGCCTCATCATCTCGCACCCAGGATGATGATGGAGATGTTGCATCCATGGACTCCACGACTACCATACGTCCCAAATCCAATTTACATCTCAAGGTGGTTGTACCTCCTCCATCACGTCCCTTCAAGCTTGCAAAGCGCCCTCCTACCAAACTAGCGCCAACTCCAATACATGTCTTATCAAGTCCAGATGGTGTCAACAAGCCTGGTGCTGACAATCCCCTCAACATTTCTGATGGCGAATCCCCCAGCGAGGATGATGCGGACCACGATGATTCATCACGCTCATGCAAGCAGAAGTTGCAGCCTAAAGGTGGTATATGAGCTATGAAGAAATGTGTACTATCAATCGAGTTAGAGGAGAAGACAGTTGTTGAGAAGAAACCAAGTGTGAAGGCTGCAGGCAAGGTTCGTGCCAAGGGAGGGCGCTCGTCTCCTCTCGTTGTAGAATCCTCAGGGGACGAACAGCAACCACCTCCTGGAGCCATGCACCCTGAGACCTCCGAGGCTGTTGATCGTCCGCCCTCTACGCCCTCTACACAAGTCATGGAAGCACCTATTCTTTCAGTGGTGCCGTCTTCCCCACTCAACTCAGATCATCATGTGAGTCCTACAGAAGAGAATGGGCAGTCTGTCCATGTCCCAGACGTCCCTCTTCCGCTACCTCAAAATCCATCATGCGCACCAAAGTTGGAGGACACTCGTCTCAGTCCCTCCCTTTCTGACCATGATGCACCAGACCCTCGTAATGGTGATCCTAATAGAGCACACTCACATGAGCCCCATGACAATCAGTATCCTCCCAATCGTGATCACTCCAGGGAGCCTCATCATGTGAGTGACTTCCACGACCTCTCACTCAATAATGCCCGTGACCTGCACCCTCATCGAGACAACTCTCCTGCACTGTGTGATGACTGTCGCTACCCCAGTGATGAGCAACATGGTGGGTACACATACCATGAGGAGGCAGACCAGCAGGCATATGCCAGGCGACTATGACTCAGAGGTGACTACCCTTATCCAAGGGAGTATTCATATTATGGCGACCGTGGTGAAACCTACCCACCAGGATACACATATCCTGTTCACCACGAGAGCTCAGGCTATCGTGATGCCACCGGGTATAGGCAACCATACTATCATGAGGCTCGATACCCAGATCATGAGCTTCTTGATGATCGCGTGCGTGGACCTCCCCTGCCGGACATGCATGGACCTCCCCTGCCAGACATGTGTGGACCTCCTCTGCCGGACATGCATGGAGAATACTTGTATCCAAGCGGTCACGAGGGTCATGCTGGCTATGAGCGCTGAAGGTACAAAAATTCAGATGGTGAGTCTGAACAATGTGTTGGGTCTTGCAGAACCTAGCTGCTATTTGACCCTAAAGGGTTTCTGGACCAGGCTCAAGGCTCAGAGTAGAGGAAATATCATAAAAACTTGCTGAGCACTCAGACTCATACTGGTAACTGGTGAAAAGATTGCTTGCTTATGTAAGCTACAAAAGTGCCAACATAAGGTAAGGTAAAAACAGTCTCTACAAGCCCAGCCAGAAATGAATCCCTACAGCGCACATATCAGCGTCAGCCTCCTCGAGCAAATGAAACTCGAGGGAGTCGGAGTCCCATTACCAATGTGCCACTCACCCTGCCTGCAGCAGAGCAGGAAAAGCATGAAGGAGCAACCATGTCAAGGTAAATGTGAGGTGTCTCTCATGCTAGTATGAACATTTTTGCTTCTCTAATACTGTTTGGGCTTGGTCTTCCCCTTGTACCATAAGTCACTACTCGCCTTCCCGCCTATCATGGACAATCCATCTGTGTTGCTACATCTTGTTTGTGCTACTGTGCACCCTCTTTTATCTCCAATGGACCCTCTCATACCTCGCGTCCTCTTGTACCTTGCATCCTCTTATACCTTGCGTCTCATGTCCTCTCATACCTCGTGTCCTCTCATATCTAGTATCTTGTATCTCGTGTCCTCTTGTACCTCTTATACCTTTTATACCCCATCTAGCGTGTCCTCTCGTATCCACTTGTTTTAGCACTATATGACACTTTCAAATGTATTTGTTTCATTGAGCGGCGTGCCAATGTGGGTGCTTGGAATATAGTGCTACAGATAAAATATTCATACACCAAATTGCATTGTGAATGTAAGAACATGAATACGAGGTGGCAACATATTGAAAGGGTAAGATCTCCATAAACATAACATTTGAAACATAAATAATGGGGAGGCGTGCGAGCCTTGGGAGGAGGAGGACACCTCCCACAAATGAGGATACGTTGTAGAGGTGTGCAAGAGGTTGCACTGTGCACAACCCTCTCAGGGAGTTTGGTGAGAATCTCTCTGGGAAGGTAGGTCTCAGAGGCCCGCAAGAGAATGAGAGAGCACGCACTATTATTAGAGGGTGGGAGGGGGGGTCTCGGAGACCAGTTTCCCATGACATGGAAACCAGGTCTGTAAGACCCTTTATAGGCACTGAGAAGTGCTGCCAAGGGTGTGTTTGGTAGTCTCAGTCGAACAGCATTGAGCGAGGGACTCAGCCCTACTGCTGACTCATGGTGCTGGGGAGACCAGGCGAAGCCTAGTGGAGCATGCACATTCAAACACGGCGCTTCAGTGCTTGACAGCCATTGAATGTCGTCGCATGAACAAGTCGAAGGAGAAACTGTTTGCGATTTCAGTCTAGCTTGACTCGAAACGTGCCGGATTGGAAGATAAGGTGATGCGAAGTAGGCAATGTATCTCTCCGGTATGAGAAAACTGAACCCCACAAATTGCGTAGTTAGGATTGGCCAAATTAATATGTAACATCATTTTACATAATTCAGTACCTCGGGCCTCGGCTAAATGACATATTCGATATAGCACGTTCACGTCAGTGCCCAGCCATGATGCGCCCACTGGCATAGCCTTGCTGCAGCACCTTGGCTTCATAGATGAACAAGGCAGGCGGACTGATATAGTGATAGTGAAGAGCTGGAGTTACGCTGGGCAATATGCACTGTTTTTTTGGCAGTTATATTCAGCTGACTGGTGAACATAGGTTCGTGATTTACTACCACGGAATCCCAAAAAACGCATGTAGGGAGAATGATTAGGATTCATAAGTTTATGGTGAACAACCTGTCTCAGACGTCTCAGCTGAGCTTACATTTTGGGAACCAGGGTTGACCATTAGAAATTGAATGCACCCTCTGTCAGAAAATTTGTGAGGTTTCTTTTCCTTTTCTAACCATATACCTAGTAGTACATTTTGAAAGGAACCTGTAGTCTAATACGCATGCGTGTAGTATGATACATACGATATGCCAATGAAAACCGCTTGGATCCATAATCAATGCATCTACAGTATTTCTATCGTCTTGACGTCCATCAAGTCCCGAACGGAAGCCCCATCTTTGACTTGCGCAATAATATCACGATCTGATGCGACCCTCTTGTATTCTCCGCCGTGCTGCCGCACTAGTAAAAATGCGCCAAAAGGCTGCCCAAGAAGAACAAGTAACCATAATGCTCGCGATTCTGGATCATCCACCTCCTGTTTTACAACAGAACGGCTAAGCGAGTCGTCCAACGGAGAAGAAGGCGGCGTCCAATAATCTTCTTCATTCTCCGCAAAGTCTGGTGGCTCAAGAAGAAACCGATCCCAGGGACGGACAAGCATCAAAGTTTGCTGATTGGGCCTTGTCCGCGAGAACTGAACAATCGGCTCTTTGGTTGTAATCAGCATGTCGTCAAGCCCGTCTGCCTTGACTTCATATCGAGTCTCCTGGGATGTACCGTAGCTCAGATTGACTTCTGTAACGCGGAATGTTATGCAAGGCAGACGCAATCTGCAGTTTGTGAAACGAGCAACGCTTGTGTTGTCAAGCCGGTCGTAAAGTTCCGAAGCCAGATCCACAACCATGGGATTCTTTCGCAGGGAGGAGATAGCTGTCTGAATCTGATCTTCGGACAAAGATGGAAAGGTACGTGGAGGAGTGGCATAAGAAGTAATATAGGCCGGAAGACAGCTGTTGAACTCGGAAGGTTGTCCGACCCAGTCAAGTACGGCGATGTTCCCCGACCGGGCCACGATCTCCTGCAAGAGTCTCCCGAGCGCGTTCTGCTTCTTCTCGCCATAAATGACAGGTAGGTGGACACCGAAGATACCAAACAATGAGTACGCGACATCTTCTTGCAATGTGGTGACACGAGATGACGCCCACTGAAGTCTCTGTCGAGCGTCGCTCATCCCAGGACGAAAGGATATCAGGGCCTGTGCATCTATTCCTGTTGCACCCTCTAACTCCTGCATGATTACGGGGGACTCTTTGTGGTTGGGAGAGCGATCGCCCAGATATAATGACCAATCCTTTTGATAGAATATAACAACTTTCGAAGCGACGAATTCTTGAAAGGTCCATCCTCGCTTGTTCCAAGCACTCCTCGCCAATGCGCCGGGTTGGGATGAAGGAGGGACATCGCCGAGATAGACGATGGTAAGCGCTGAATGACGATACCAGACGAACATAGAGTTGACCGATTCTTGAAGCTCAGTGTTGCTCTTCTTGTCGATGCAGCACGTGTCCATCCAAGCCCAGCGATATCCAGCATCACGAGCGACATTGCAGAACGACTGTAGTTTCGCAATCCCAGCAAGTCCCTTTAACTCACGCACATCTTTATCTTGAATGTCGTGCAGTAGCGCCTCCATCTCCTCCCACCTGTGTGATAACAGGACGCAACGAAAGTACGTTGCCACTACATCTTTGATGTGCTCTGCTCGGAGATTCGAATCCTTCATTGGAAATGAGACAAGCTCGTTGTACTCCGGACTCGTTTTGAAGGCGTTTATTTGTGCCGCTCTATCGCACAAAATACCCGTGGAGGTATTCAGTAGACGTAGCGGGGCATATTCGAGTTCAATCCGAACAACTCTTTGAATGGCGTCTTCTGCTTCCGATGGAGAGACATACTGCTGACGCAGATCTACAGAACGAGATAGGCATTTCGAGATCATACAGACGTTTCTCATGGCTTACCTCGTATCTGAGCTTCGGGAGAATCGTCCAACTTGGACAACATGATTTTGAAGGCCTCAATAGCTTCGTTGTAACGTTGCGCGCCACGCAGCGCTATATGCATCAACTCGTATCCAATGTGAGATGAAGGATCGAGTTCGATGACCTATGCATCACCGAAGTCAACACGGGCTATGGAAACATAGATGCCATCGCACCTTTCGCGCATCGAGAAGTGCTTCTGTCCATAGCATTTTTGCTAACCTTGCCTTGCTGCGCTTTACAAAGATGGCAACAGATGCAAAATTCAAGTCGATCACTGCCGAGTAGAGCGCAATCGCCCTGTCATAATCACTTGCAGCAAGGGCAGTATCTCCATTGGTAAGACAGAGCGCGCTGTATTCTTCCGTGAAAGCTGAGTGGAATGTGGGTGAGGATTGTAGCCTGGGCGATAATATGAACTCCAGACTTACCATTGGACCACTCAAGGTATTCGACCTTGGTATTTTCGTCACTCGAAATCATGATATATTGGTACGATCTCACGGCATCTGGAAGTTTACGTGCCCGAAGGAGTGCATCACAACGTTTATGGTGCGCAGTGAGCCACAACGAGTTAAGATCCCAACCGAAGAGCTGAACAAGAGACCTGGTTATGAAAAGCGTATCGAATATGTATTGACGTACCATCACTAAATCCTCGTAAATTTCATGAATGTGCGATTTTGATGATAAAGTACTGCAGTCAACAGCGACAGTGAAATGGTCAGCGGCTTCGTCGTGACGTGCGTCATCGAAGGCTCTGAGTCCAAGTTGAACATGTAGATATGCCTAATATGCAAGTTGCAAAAATTAGCATTAATGCGGATGACCCAGCGTGGCTGGATGAAACCTACTTGCACTATACGACATGCGCGAGTGTCGGCATTCGGACAACCGGTAGCGAGTTCTTTGAGGAGCAGGTTTGCCTCGTCATGTTGATCTGCATTGAAGAGCGCGATGGCCTGAAATACACGATGCAGGGGGAAGTATGTGAGGTAAATGTAATATACTTACCTTGACCAAGAGCAGAAAATGAACCATATCTGAATCTTGGTCCGTGTACATGGATGCAACATCAAATGCTGCCCTCGCATCCGGGATGTGGCCTTTTCCGCAGAGTGCAATACCCTTGGAGATATAACCTGTCAACGAGGGCTCAATGCTGATGGACTGTGTCACGATCGAGTTAGTCATTCATATGGGGGGAGGGGGGTGATGGATCACTGAATCTCACCTTGATTGCGTCCTGAAGGGCGCGGTCCCAATCGTGTTTTCGCGCCATAATGAATGAGCGATGGGCGTAGGAAGTATGGTTGTCCGGATCAGTATCGATATCTTGCGTGAGTAGTTCTTCAGCGGTAGATAAGTCACCGTCCATGCATGCATTGCGGGCTGTCGTGATAGCTAGAATCTGCACGGAATATGCTCGAATTGCCATGGTATATGAGTCAAGGACAGAAACATGCCTTTGAATTGATATTTTGAGGTAATGCCCACTGTGAGATCATGTTATCACCACCTCCACTGAAGATGTGTTGGCCGTCTATGGAGAAAGTAACGCATGTAGTGAAGGATGAGTGCTTGATGATGTCAATGATTCGTCGATTTGAGAGCCGCCAGAGAATAACGCGCTTGTCATCAATTGCGGATGCGACGACTGTGCCAGTAGGATTAATGGCGATGCCATTGGTTTCGGGATAGCGGCCCATCCAGGAATTGCCGACCTGCGGCTTCCATGTTGTTGTATCCCATTCACATAGATTGTACACGCCACCTGTGAGAAGGCGTGTACCATCGGGGGTCCATGCAACTGAGTTGTAACCCCCGAAGGATGCGACGCATTCTCTCGTGGCTGAATTGTGAATTTCGATAACGTTGTACGATACGATGGCAAGAAGTTCTCCAGACGGCGAATACCGTATGCATGTGACAGAGTGAGCACACTTGATTGGATCCCCTTGTTGTTGCCAGGTTTTGGTATTCCACAGTCTCATCACATGTGCACCAGTGGCTAGCACTGTTCCATCGGGAGAAAAATCCAACGTTCTGAGATAAGAGTTGGGGTGGGCTTCGATTTTGGTGAGTAATTCGCCAGTTTCTCCGTGCCAGACGATGAGTACTCCGCCTTGATCACCACTTGCTATCAATTGCCCATCTCGCGATAACGCCAATGCCCGCACCGTCTCGGGATGCCCCTCCATCTTCATCAACACAACACCTGTCGTCAAGTCCCACAGACGAAGTGTCTTGTCGTACGAGCCCGTAACCATCCGTCGTTTATCGGGGAAAACTGCAACTGCAGTTACACGTTTTTCATGGCCTTTGAACTCTCGCAGGGGCATTGTGATTGGAACGAGGTGCGACATTTTACTCGAGGTTGATTGAGCACGGTCGAGGTGGACTTTGGAGGGGGGTTTTGTCCTTCTCTACGTTGCAGAGGTGTGTGTATCGTACGTTTTATGGTGCTTCACTGCCTCGACCTGCCTTATTTTTATAGACGCCCAGGGCACTTATTATTATCAAGGCTGTTCGCCTGCATCGCTGTTACGGCAAGAATGTGCCCTATTGTCATACTCGCCGTCCTCGACAGTATGCCCTCCCAACACCTCTGCGGTGCGTACATGCATCCTACTCTTTTCTTCAAAGCTTCCAAGCTGTATCCCGTTGTATCCAATCAAGCAGTCGGTGCATCCCAGCCCTTGAATCTGACTATCTATCCTTCATAATGTTTATTTTTGTGTCGAACAGGTAGTCCAGCACATCACCATGTCACTCCTTCGAATGCGTGCACGCAGCTTATTGCAATATTACCATTCATTCAAGACCTGTTTGTGCACCGGATGCAGCCGGAGTTCTCTCAGTTTTAGCGTCTCAAATTCGTCACTAATTCTAAACAAGAGTCCAGTGCGGCTCGTTCTAGCAATATTGCAACGAGACTTCTTGCAGCTCAGTCATTGGGCAGTTCGGTATGGTGCTGGAGAATACCTCTTGTACGACTGTGATCGCGCTAGGTTTTGACGAGGAAATAAGCATCACATCTCTTTTGTCTTCCTACTTACAACCTCAGCTCTCAGACCTTCTCATATCGAGAGTATGAACGCCTCCAGAACAGTCTAATCTAACCCGGGTCACAAAGATCACAAAACAACACAAGGTGCATCTTAACATCCACCACAGCCGTACCGGTCTACACATCAGCCGAGTCATGGAGAGCACTGATGGTGCGAATGACTGACGCATCTTCCAGCTCTAAATGCGTCCTACACAGCCGTGGGTACTACTACGCATGGCTGATATGACTGCAGACTAGTTTGTGTTATGTTTCACTCTAAGTCAGGAGATGGTGAGGATGAATCGGGCCGCCAAGATGACTCGAATCACGAGTATAGGAGTGAAGGCTCGCCCGAGCCTACCGCTTTTTACCTGTGATGGTTTATTCTAATTTATAAGGGAGGTACGCTACCTCAACTATAAGTACGCCTACGACTCTCATGCTCTAGCATAGGACCCTCAAGTAACAACTGAAATGCTGATTCATCGCTAAGTTTGCGGTACCCTGATGGAAGGTAAAGCGAGTGGATCCCCTCAAAGCACCTCTCTACAAGGTCCCAGGACTTTTTGTGCGATCCGGATGGATGGACATCTCTGATCCCCCCTGACCAAAAATGGGTCTTGTTTGCTGCGCATGTACGAACATTCACTTTTAGCCATTCTTCCAATGGCCTGTTCTTGCTGAGGAGGTTTCCACCTTCATACCGAAGACTGACCCAAGTGAGGGTCCAGATCAACGATTCAGCATCATGTGCATACACGTGCTTGACCTTGCCTGCCATGGCGTCTGGCGTGAGAAGGTTTACCACCATGAATGGCACCGTTCCTGTGCGCTCGAGGCCCCTGGAACCATCACGTTCAAACGACGATAAGTCGTAGTCATTGAGAATGCCTATGTATTGATCGTGTGAGTGGTACACCATGAGGTTGCTAGGGCTGACGTCTCGATGAAGCACGCCTCCCTTCCAGAGGGCGCGATGACCTGTTGAGTGGTGGATGAATGATGAAGAGCAGAAGAAGGAAAAATTTACACTTCACAACTTGCCACCACGCGGCAAGGAACTCCTCGCCAGAAAGCGTCGTGATTGGGATAAGCTTTCTGAATACGGTGATGTACAGCGCACGGCCGCCCTGTTCGGCCCGTTCAGCGTCCTTCAGTCCTAGTGCGACTCTGATGTTAGACGTGGATTTTTCTTTGATGTGGAACAAGACCAGCTCTGGGACGTGGCCTCGCACATCCGGATAAGTTTGTGCAATCTTGTAGACCTCCTTGAGGATGTCTGGCTCGCCCTGACACGTCTCTTCTGGCCAATAGAGCTCGGCCACCAGTTCAGAATATTCGTTGGGAAAATGGGAATCCCGCTGCAGACATGATAGTGCCTCGCTCTTCATTGAAAACACGGTAGTTGCACGTCCGCATATACTGAATGGAGTCACGCGCTCCTCAGACTTTACATCCGACTCGAGGTTGATTTGGGTATCCTCAACCATCACCTTGCCCGAAAATCCGAGTTCAGGCTCAAACACGCGCTTAAGGCCCCACTGTTCGTATCCCATCCACTGCATGATGAGAAGTAAGACAGACCAGCGTGGGAGGTCTAGAACGAAGTCGAGTAGCTTCGATTTCTCGCTGACAGAAAGGTATTGAGAAGCACCTGTGCATCTTGCGAGGAGTTTTTGCAGCATAGTATCTGCCTCACACTTCTCAGAGTTTTGGACGTCCCTCGCAATCCATGGGCGGACATTACTGACTCTGCAAAATTCCCTGATATGGGTGATGGTGGCGAGAACAAGAGAAAGAATTGACGCACTCAACGCCAACAGTACTGATATGTTCGCTGACAACAGCGGAACCGACTGCGAGTGAGGTGGATTTGAGTCCAGCCTCAGAATGGGCAGACAAGGCAGAGTTACGGGGAGGTGTTTTGTGTATGATGGCGTCAACATTGTCGGCCATGATGATGAGGGCTAAGGATGCTGAGATAGAAACGAAAGTGAGTTGAGAATCAAAACACGCAAACCTGTGCTAGCTTTTAAACCAGCAAAACACCATTTTTAAATATTTCAAGTCAAGGTCCACAATTGATAATCGATAAGTAGTTGAACGAAGTTGATGGCAGACTCTGCCAGAGTTCAGTAAACGATAAATTGACCGAGTTCACGACAACAGCGATTATGTAATCACCATCGACACGAGTCCGCCGGTCGAGTTCAATCTTCTTCAAGTTACAATCCAAATCGTGTAAGTATTCCTAAATTTCTTACTTGATCCTTCTTGTTTTCTTTGCCATGTATCCAACACGTACCGGTTGGGATCTTAATAAACAAGGTTTGCTATAGGTATAAAGTTTTACCTTGCACAGAGGCGAAAGGCTCGCATGGGATTCTCAGGCTGGCACTTCGCAAAGGAGTGACTTGTGGGCGCAGCGTTGAAGATCCATAGGCTGCACAGCTGTCACCTTCACGGCGGCCCTTTACCTCCGTTTTTATCTACAATTTTACGGACGATAAGTCACTTTTAGTAGTCCTCCTGAGGCCTGAACACGCGAGCAATCAAGAAATTTGATGGTCTTTCTTGATGTTCTTTTTAGATATCTCTCCTGCATCCGTGCTGTTGTTGCCTTTGGCATCTATCGTGTGCGATTTCCTTCTTCAATGCACATTCTCATTGGTCCGTCTTAACATTCCGCGCGTCGCACAAGAAACTTTTGTAGAAGAATTTCACTGATCAGCAGCCTTTGCCTCCATTTCTGATTTTACAAATATCACACTTCGGGCCATCTTGCCGAACACACGAATAACCAAGGAATCTGATTCAAGATGTCTTATCAGAAGTCCCTGTCTGATCACCGGGCGGTGCGTAGTAGGGGTCAGTCAGACTCGCAACTCGTCGATCGCCACACAAGAGATGCTGATAGTGACTCAACTTGACAACAGATGTTCTTTCTTATCAATCCATAGGATCCAAGGATCCGAATGATCGTCCCCTAGACCTGCCTAATTTTGCAGATGGGATGGAGAATGGATCCCATGTTTTCTGAACCGTCAGTCGGATCTTTTTATGAGTCGTTGATGTACTCCACGTGTCTGTGGATGCCTTCGACATCCTCCGTAATTGCCCCACTTTCCTGTTTTTGCTGTTCCCCACCATTGTGCTCGAGATGCGTACATTTTGATGTCTCGCTTCCGACCGCACAATGTGTTGGTTGAAACTCATCGTCGATTCATTGACATTCCTCATGCAGAAGGTATTCCTCGCAATATGACCGCGCTGCTGTTTCTTTAACCCCTCTCGCCTGCCATCCGGGATCATGACGACTTTTAATAGTTCACAAGTATGTGAATGTATTTACGATGTGCTCTGCTTCAGCTTCGCACCGAACCCTTGTGCATCGTCAACTGTACATTTTTCCCATACATAAATACAAACACATAGATCTACCGGCGAAGCGTATCGTACTCTGAGCAAGGTACATAGTGAAATGTATAGTGAGACATAGGGAAGCCTGATTTCTGGAAATGGTCACAAACCTCATACAAATCAATCTCATCCAAGCGCAACCCAACCACACAACTCCATCTTCTGGCTGATCTCCGTGGGCATCCGCAACACCATCTCCTTATGCAATTCATTGAGCTGACAGCTCTCCGAACAAAGCACAAATCTCCCAAGCCCTCCCTCCCGTCCTGCGAAGATGCATACCGTTGGCGGTCGCTCGGCATGGAAATAGTACATGGTCGACGAGCATGTGTCGATGAGCGTGTACATATGTCCCGGTCCATTCTGCGCGTGTTCCTTCGCATCCTTATATTGCTCGTCTGAACCTATCCGTCTCGAGAGTTGTTCCGGCTTCGAGAACAATGAACCGCTCGGGGTGACATACATCCTCGGGAAGTGTGCAATGGAACCCCCGTATAAGTGACTTTCTACCGTTCCTTTATCAACCACTCCTTTGACTCCAATCAACCACGGTTGTTTGTCGATTATACGACCAGATCTGCTGTAGAGAAACAGTCGAGGGGAAAGGAACAGGAGGAAGAGTCCGATTACAATGAGTGTGATGCCTCCTGCTCTGCTGGTATCCGGTATAATACTTAACCCACTGATAATGAACGGCCAGGAGAAATATGGTATGTAACCGACAATCTTCCTCCTGACCGAAAATGGAGTAGTGAATGGAATCTCCGGGAAGTTCTTCCATCTGATAGCTGCCGCCCGACAGCCATCCAAAACGAGAGCTCCGTTCTCTGTCACACCAGCGACTTGGATCTCCGGAAGGATGTCCCAAAGATTCGCGTGATAGACATCATTGTCAGCGTACCAGCACGCCCTTGGGGTGGTGGTCGAGGGTAACATGGACACCATGCGATCAGCGATGCGGTCGCTGTCGTTGGCCATTGACAACCTCGCGAGTGCGCGTAACTCATCTTCATCGTGGTTCGGCTGAATGCGGTGCTCAAAAAAGCCCATGAGCGCATAAACTTGCTCCGCCTTGTGTGGCTTGTACTCCTTGCCAGTGACAGACGCCCCACCCACCATGTCCGACTTTGGCGGGAGAGGAGGGCCCGAAAGTGTTGGGAAACCTGCCATAGCACGCCTCCATATAGCTGATTTCAACAGTGTCAAGCGCTCCAGCCTCTCAAGCGGATCCTTCCCACCGGCGTATGCATTGATAATTGCTTGTTCATCCTCGGAGTTTGTATAGGCCAGGTTAGCCAGTTGAAACAACGACAACGACTCGACCTCTTCCCGATCCCGGAACTTGTAACAAAGCCGAGAGCTCAAGAGGGCTTCTGGAAAAGTCCATACCCGTCCGCCCCAGCTCATCCAGCACTCCTTCTCTCCGGAGTCAGCTCTCCCGAGCATGATCAACGTCGTCTCCGCTCTACGGTAGACGTCTGACATGCAGTACACATCCAGATTCTCCTCTGATGGAGTCTCCCCTAGACACTCCAAGTCAAGCCAGTAGGCATTGAATTGCTGTCCGAGCACCGCCGCACGAACTTCGTCTGTGAACTGTGCCTTTTCTTTCTTCTCACGTGGGCCTTGAGAGTAGACGTCGGTTGCGCGGTAAGAGATGGCGATGTATTTAGCGTGGATGATGGTATCACGATCCGCGCATCGAACCCACTCATTCTGATTTGAGCCGCGGATCATGAGAACTCGAGGGTAACAGGCATGTGTACGGGTAGTCATATCAGCTTCCTCTTTAACGCGCGATGAATGCTCCATACGAGAACGAGCTGCCCATAGCTGACCCTGAAACTGACGAAGATACGGTTTGTAGTATCCTGTATACGACGAATCAGTATCGTCTTCAGAGTCACCACTAGCGTTGTTATAAAAAAAATCCACGAGAAACCAGACGATTGGCCACAATAGCTTCAGCGCGAACCACACTGATTTTCCGATCCACTCGAAAATAATCCATCCTTTGAAGGGTGAATGGGTTAGCAGCCATATTGCGAGTTTGCTGGCGTCGTTGGTGTGATCTTTGATGGCAACTTCAAATTTGCCAGAGGGTGTAACGGCTTGCACGATCAGCCTTCGGCAGATTCCAGTGGTAGGGCTGATGTATCTCTGCTCTTGACCGTGCATTGTCAATGTTCCCAAGTCATTGGAGCAAGTGATGCTCGAGTCTTGATGCGTGACTGGGAGCCAGTGCATCCTAACTGTTCCTGTAAAAGCGTCGATGTGATGATGAGTGCGAAGACTACAGGACCTTCGAGCTGTGAACTAGACTTACAGCGAGAAGAGAATCACAAGCAGGGTTTTACTTCTCACAGCGATGCCCTACTATTACCTTTATACGTTTCAGATGCTGTAACCCTAGATCTTTAGATGGCACATCATGACATACCGCCATGGTGTCGCAAAATCAGAAACCTTGTCTGATTGGACCGTAAGATCCCGAACAAGATATCGACCAGCGGTGTCATTAGATGCCTGATATCACGGGGTAACATAGCTGTGAGAGACTTCCAGAAGACAATGAGAATATCTGGACATCAGTAAACACGAGTATACGTATCATTCACTTCAGGGATATTCAATAGGCCCGATCTTATGCCTCCTACAGCAGACCCCCCCAACCAAGAGTATCAAATAGAGGCTGTTCTTCTTGTCTCGATGTACGAGATATTGTAAATGCACAAATGTCAGTTCGAAATAACTTGAATGAGATCATGTTGCCTACTGATGGTGACTAGCCTATCACTGTCAGAGTTTGAATCCGTCGAAAAACTATCGTCGAACATTGTATCTCTGTTTGGTATAGTCCCGGTCGAACGGCATTGAGCGAGGGACTCGGCCATAGTGTCATGGTGACTACTACTGATGGTACTGGGGCGATCATGCGGAGCCTGGCATCGGCAAAAGGACTACACAATTTAGCAAGACAGTACTCAGATAGCCGCCTTAGCGGTGATGTTAGGACAACGTTGAGGTGAATAACTATGCAGATCTGTGGCCGAGTGTTAATACTGTACAGCATATACATAGCATCCAGCCGTTATGCGCTCACTGGCACAGCCTCCCTGCAGGTCCACTCAAAACACCTTGAGCTAGGATTATGTATTAGTACATATATAGCACCTCAACCATGCACTCACTGGCATAGCCTCGCTGCACCTAGGTTTATGTATAGTACATACAAGCGCTCTATTCACCTTCGGATGTTGCTGTTGCTTTTGTCGTCTTCTTCTCTTGGAAATATCGTTCGAATGTCTCAGGGACGTCATACTCTTGAATGCGCGGTGTATAGCCGTCCGTGTGTGAACGAATCAGTACGTAGGTTAAGCTCGACTTTTTCAAGCGTCAGCCCTTGACATCCGTTGAATGTTGTCGCATAAAGAGGTCGCAGGGGAAACTGTTTGTGATTTCAGTCCAGCTTGAATGCACTGATCCGATTGAAAGAGAAAATCATGCAAGGCGGACAATGCATCTCTCCGGTATGAGGAAGCTGATGCATGATGCATTGATGAGCGATCGCAATGCTGTAGAGGTCACACGTACGCATTGGAAAAAATGGAGCACAATTTGCAAAAGGAAGAGACATGGCCACAGGTCGGACCGTACTTATAACCCGCAGTATAGCAGCTTACCCGCGGTATTATAGAAAGCAGGATGGCCGTGCACCGACCTTGATCTGTATGTTGGAGTTAGAGAATATGGTCATAGTGCGAGCACAGGAGTAGAAGAAGACGAATATACATAGACAAAGACCAACCAGAAAGTGGGGGATTTGTCCAGTCTGTGCATGAGGTCTATACAGACAAGTCACAGACTCCGTGTTGAAATCTGGGGGAGTGGTTGTCCGGAAAGTGCCGGGCAGTTTGTCAAAGCCTGCCGTATTATGTTATATCCTGGCCGCGTCAGCCTCCTGTCAGTCTCTCCCACCATTTGAATGAGAACGGGCTGCTCATCTTCGGGCACAGCGAGCTCGACACCCGAGCTATTGTTGCCGACAGGCGGTATTCCTGTGCCCTCTTCTAGGGACAGAACCCAGAAAAAAATCTCCGTCTCGGAGCTCGATCATGATGCGGACTAGACTCGTAACCAGTCTGACTATTACACCACTTGTGCAACCGTGGTAGCATACGCCAGGCTGGTCACGGGCCTAGACGCGGACGCGTGACGGCTCCATGCCAGCCCAATCATCATCTCTTTGGGACTTTAGCTTGCTTTGTCATCATGACTCCACCTCGGTGTTTGGTTGTGCTCGTCGTTCTTTTCTCTCATTTTTGTTGTTATGTTCTGGTTTTGATATTCTCGTGACCCTACTATGGGTGACTCCCAAATTTTTATTGGCCTGATTTCTATTTTTATAGGCTATCTTCGCCGGCTACCTGGTGACACGGTGGGATCTGAGATCTGAGGGCCTGGATCCTTGTACGCATCCGCATGCAATGAAGACAAGCCCAGCGGGGAAGCTGGCCATGGGTAGAGGGCATCCAAAACGCTTCTGCGCCGCCCTCTCAAGTTTACTCATGTAGGAAGATTGCCGTTGCAAACTCTCGTCGGGTTCCTTCTCGCCCATCAAGGCAGGGAACTTGATAAGGGGAGGGAACTATCTGCTTACTCACTTTGATGTGAAGTAGACTGCCCTGCATACCGGTTTGTACTTTATCCCTCCCATTGCTCTTCCCCGCACCTTGCTCACGCGGATGCCCACATATTCACTCACATGGATGCCCGCATTTTTGCTCATGCATGATGCGGATGCCTGCACCTTTGCTCACGCAGATGTCCGCAATCCTTCTCATGCGGATGCCTGCACTTTTGCTTACGCAGATGCCCGCAATCTTGCTCACGCGAATGCCTGCAACATCGCTCATGCGGATGCCCGCTACATCGCTCACGCGGACGCCCTCAAGCTGCTATCTCTTCTTTCCAACAGCGCTTTCCTCACCTCGAAGCGTCGCTCTGGGGCTCCTAAGATTTGGGATCCGAGGTTCACTTCGCTGCGTCACTCTCACTCCTAACACTTGGGAATCGCAGCTCACCTCGGCTCTCTCTCACACAGGTTGGGGCCGCCATCGGGGCTGGGTTGCCCCTTCGGGGCTTCCACCCAAAAAACTATCTGCTTCAATAAAGCAACCATTTCCTTTCATTCTCCTTACCGCTACTAAGACCGCTCCACGACAGCAAACGCAAAGTCAACATCGGTGTCCCACTTTTTTCTTCAAAGCTTCCAAAATGTATCTCGTTGTATCCAATCGAGCAGTCAGTGCTTCCCAGCGCTTGAATCTGACTATCTATCCTGCATAATATTTGTTTTTGTGTCGAACAGGTACTACTCCAGCACATCACGATGTCACTCCTTCGAATGCATGCACGCAGCTTATCACAATATTACCATTCATTCAATACCTGTCTGCACCGGATGCAGCCAAAGTTCTCAGTTTTGGCGTCTCAAATTCGTCACTAATTCTAAACAGGAGTCCAGTGCGGCTCTTTCTAGCAATATTGCAACGAACCTTCTTACAGCTCAGTCCTTTCGGTGTGGGGGTGCTGAATAATCCCTTTTGTACGGTTGTGATCGCGCTAGGTTTTGACGAGGAAATAAGCGCATTGTTGGTAATATCCTTGAATCAAAATCAAATTTTGCATAGCTTGAACATCTGAAGGGTCCGTCTTCCCCGAGATACAGAATAATGGAGGAAATCACTTGCTTGTTGGCTCCTCACTATTACAACCTACATCCAAACCACAAGGCTCATGTCTCTTCTGTCTTCCTACTCTCAACCTCAGCTCTTAGACCTTCCCATATCGAGAGTATGAACGAGTGCCTCCAGAACAGTCACATCTAACCCAGGATGGAGGTCACAAAGATAACAAAGCAACACAAGGTACATCTTCACCACAGCCATACTGGTCTACACATCAGCCGAGTCATGGAGAGCATCAATGATGCGGACGACTGACACATCTTCCAGCTCTAAATGTGTCCTACACAGCTGTGGGTACTACTACGCATGGCTGATATGACTGCAAGCTGGTTTGTGTTATGTTTCACTCTAAGTCAGGAGATGGTGGGGATGAATCGATTCGCAAAGAATCTCGAGTATAGGAGTGAAGGCTCACCCAACCCTACCGCTTCTGGCCTGCGATGGTTTATTCTACAAAGCGATTTGTAGGGGAGACCCACTACCTCAACCACAAGTATGCTCATACCCTACGTCGCAAATAAAAGACTGTCATGCTCCAACATAGGTCCCCCAGGTAACAACTCAAAAGCCGCTTGATCGGCCAGTTTCCGGTACCCTGATGGAAGATAAAGCGAGTAAATACCCTCAAAGCACTTCTCTACAAGGTCCCAGGACTTCTTGTGCGATCCGGATGGACGCACATCTCTGATCCCCCCTGACCAAAACTGGGTCTTTCTTGCTTGGCATAGAGAAGCATCCGCTTTCAGCCATTCTTCCAATGGTCTGTTCTTGCTGAGGAGGTTTCCACCTTCATACCGAAGACTGACCCAAGTGAGGACCCAGATCAACGATTCAGCATCATGTGCATACACGTGCTCGACCTTGCCTGCCATGGCGTGTGGCGTGAGAAGGTTTACCGCCATGAATGGTACCGTTCCTGTACGTTCGAGGCCCATGGGACCATCGCGTTTAAACGATGATAAGTCATAGTCGTTGAGAACGCCTATGTATTGACCGCGTAAGCGGTACACCATGAGATTGCTAGGGCTGACATCCCGATGAAGCACGCCTCCCTTCCAGAGGGCGCGATGGCCTGTCGAGTCGTGGATGAATGATGAAGAGCAGGAGAAGAGAAAAAACTTACACTTCACAACCTGCCACCATGCGGCAAGGAACTCCTCGCCAGAAAGCATCGTGATTGGGATAAGCTTTCTGAATACGATTACGTACAGGACGCGGCTGCCCTGTTCGGCCTGTTCAGCGTCCTTCAGTCCTAGTGCGACTCTGATTTTGGACGTAGATGTTTCTTGGAACTTGTGGAACCAGACTAGCTCTGGGACGTGGCCTCGCACATCCGGATCTGTCTGTGCAATCTTGTAGACCTCGTCGAGGATGATGTCTAGCTCGCTCTGACGCGTTTCTTCTGGCCAATAGAACTTGGCCACCAGTTCAGAAGATTCGTTGGGAAAACGGGGATCCCGCTGCAGACCTGATAGTGCCTTGCTCTTTACTAAAAACACGGTAGTTGCACGTCCGCGTATACCGAAATGAGTCACGCGCTCCGTAGACTTCGCATCCAACTCAAGGCCAATTTGGGTATCCTCAATCATCACCTTGCCTGAAAATCTGGGCTCAGGCTCAAACACCCGGTTAAGGCCCAACTGTTCGTATCCCATCCGCTGCATGATGAGAAGCAAGACAAAGCAGCGTGGAAGGTCCCGAACGAAGTAGAGTAGCTTTGATTTCTCGCTGACAGAAAGGTATTGAGAAGAACTTGTGCATCTTGCAAGTAGTTCTTGCAGCATCATACCTGCCTCACACTTCTCAGAGTTTTGGACGTCCCTCGCGATCCATGGGCGGACATTACTGACTCTGCAAAATTCACTCATATGGGTGATCGTGGCAAGAACAAAAGGAAAAATTGACGCACTTAACGCCAACAGTACTGATATGTTCGCTGACAACAGCGGAACCGACTGCGAGTGAGGTGGACTTGAGTCCAGCCTCCGAGTGGGCAGACAAGGCAGAGTTACGGGGAGGTATCTTGTGTATGGTGACGTCAGCGTTGTCGGCCATGATGATGAGGGCTAAGGCGGCGATGCTGAGATAGAAACGAAAGTGAGTTGAGAATCAGAACACGCAAACCTGTGCTAGCTTTTAAACTGGCAAAAAACCATTGTTAAATATTTCAAGTCAAGTTCCACAATTGATAATCGCTGAACGAAGTTGATGGCAGCTGCCAAGTCAGACTCACGGTTCTTCAGAACGTTGAACGATAAACGATAAATTTGACCGCAACGACGATTATGTAATCACCTTCGACCTGAATCCGCCGGTTGAGTTCACTCCCGACAATCCAAATCATGTATCCCTAGATTTCCTACTTAATCCCTCTTTTTTTCTTTGGCATGTATCCAACACGTACCGGTTGCAATCTCAATAAACAACGTTTACTATAGGTATAAAGTTTTACCTCGCATCGCATAGGATTCTCAGGCTGGCACTCCGCAAAGGAATGACTTGTGGGCGCAGCGTTGAAGAACAATAAGCTGTACAGCTGTCACCTTCACGGCGGCCCTTTACCGGTACCTCCGTTTTGATATACAATTTTATGGACGATAATACGGACTTTCTCGATGTTCTTTTTAGATATCTCTCTCTGCATCCGAACAACTGGACTACTGCGCGATCGTTCTCCATACAACGGAAGCGGGAGAGTGACTATCGAAAATCCTCGAGTTGTTGCCTTTGGCATCCATCGGGTGCGATTTCCTTCAATGCACATTTTCATTGGTCCGTCTTAATATTCCGCGCCTCGCACAAGAAACTTTTCCAGAAGAATTTCACTGATCAGCGGCCTTTGCCTCCATTTCTGATTTTACCAATATCACACTTCGGGCCATTTCGCCGAACACACGAATAACCAAGGAATCTGATTCAAGATGTCTTATCAGAAGTCCCTGTCTGATCACCGGGCGGTGCGTAGTAGGGGTCAGTCAGACTCGCAACTCGTCGATCGCCACACAAGAGATGCTGATAGTGACTCAACTTGACAACAGATGTTCTTTCTTATCAATCCATAGGATCCAAGGATCCGAATGATCGTCCCCTAGACCTGCCTAATTTTGCAGATCGCAAGGAGAATGGATCCCATGTTTCCTGGATCGTCAGTCGGATCTTTTTATGAGTCGTTGATGTACTCTACGTGTCTGTGGGTGCCTTCGACATCCTCCGTAATTGCTCCACTCTACCATTTTTGCTGTTCCCCACCATTGTGCTCGAGATGCGTACATTTTGATGTCTTGCTTCCGACTGCACAATGTGTCGATTGAAACTCATCGTCGATTCATTAACATTCCTCGCAATATGATCAAGCTGTCGGTTCTTTAACCCCTCTCACTCTGCCATCCCATGACGACTTTTAATAGTTCACAAGTATCTGAATGTATTTACGATGTACGCTGCTTCAGCGTCGCACCGAACTCTTGTGCATCGTCAACTGTACATTTTGTTTTTCAATACATAAATATAAATATATAGATCTGCCGGCGAAGCGTATCGTGCTCTGAGCAAGGTACATAGTGAGATATAACTGGAAGCACGGTGCGTGATTCCTTAGGATGACTCCAGGCCTTATCCAAATCAATCTCATCCAAGCGCGACCCAACCACACAAATCCATCCTCTGGCTGATCTCCGTGGGCATCCGCAACACCATCTCCTTATGCAATTCATTGGCCTGACAGCTCTCCGAACAAAGCACAAATCTCCCAAGCCCTCCCTCCCGTCCTGCGAAGATGCATACCGTCGGCGGTCGCTCGGCACGGAAATAGTACATGGTCGACGAGCATGTGTCGATGAGCGTGTACATATGTCCCGGTCCACTCTTCTCTTGTTCCTTCGCATCCTTATATTGCTCGTCTGAACCTATCCGTCTCGAGAATTGTTCTGGCTTCGAGAACAGTGAACCGCTCGGGGTGAAATACATCCTCGGGAAGTGTGCAATGGTACCCCCGTATAAGTGACTTTCTACCGTTCCTCTATCAACCACTCCTTTGACCCCGATCAACCACGGTTGTTTGCCGATTATACGCCCAGATTTGCTATAGAGAAACAGTCGAGGGGAAAGGAACAGGAGGAAGAGTCCAATTACAATGAGTGCGATGCCTCCTGCTCTGCTGGTATTCGGTATAATTCCTAACCCAATAACAATGAACGGCCAGGAAAAATACGGTATGAAACCGGCAATCTTCCTTTTCAGCGAAAGCGTAGTCGCAAATGGAATCTCCGGGAAGTCCTTCCACCTGATGGCTGCTGCCCGACAGCCATCCAAAACGAGAGCTCCGTTCTCCGTCACACCAGCGACTTGGATCTCCGGAACAATGTCCCAAAGATTCGCATCATAGATATCGCTGTCAGCGTACCAGCACGCTCCTGGCGTGGTGGTTGAGGGAAACATGGACACCATGCGATCAGCGATGCGGTCGCTATCGTTGGCCATTGACAACCTCGCGAGTGCGCGTAACTCATCTTCATCGTGGTTCGGTTGAATGCGGTGCTCAAAAAAGCCCATGAGCGCATAGACTTGTTCCGCTTTGTGTGGCTTGTACCCGCCGGTGACAGGTCCCTCGCCTATCATGTGCGACTTTGGCGGGGGTGGAGGGCCAGAAGGTGTCGGAAAACCTGCCATAGCGCGCCTCCATATAGCTGATTTCAACAGTGTCAAGCGTTCTAGCCTCTCAAGCGGATCCTTCCCATTGGCGTATGCATTGACAATCGCTTGTTCATCTTCGGAGTCCGTATAAGCCAGGTTAGCCAGCTGAAACAGCGACAACGACTCGACCTCTTCCCGATCCCGGAACTTGTAACAAAGCCGAGAGCTCAAGAGGGCTTCTGGAAAAGTCCATACCCGTCCGCCCCAGCTCATCCAGCACTCCTTCTCTCCAGAGTCAGCTCTCCCGAGCATGATCAACGTCGTCTCCGCTCTACGGTAGACGTCTGACATGCAGTACACATCCAGATTCTCCTCTGATGGAGTCTCCCCTAGACACTCCAAGTCAAGCCAGTAGGCATTGAATTGCTGTCCGAGCACCGCCGCACGAACTTCGTCTGTAAACTGTGCCTTTTCTTTCTTCTCACGTGAACCCCAAGAGTAGACGTCGGTTGCGCGGTAAGAGATGGCGATGTATTTAGCGTGGATGATGATATCGCGATCTACGCATCGAACCCACTCCTTCCTGTTTGGGCTGCGGATCATGAGAACTCGAGGGTAACAAGCATGTGTACGGGTATTGATCTCAGTTTCCTCTATAATACGCGATGAATGCTCCATACGAGAACGAGCTGCCCATAGCTGACCCTGAAACTGGCGAAGATACGGTTTGTAGTATCCTGTGTTAGACGACGAATCAGTATCGTCTTCAGAGTCATCACTAGCGTTGAAATATAGTTCCACGATAAACCAGACGATTGGCCACAACAGCTTCAGTGCGAACCACACTGATTTTGCGATCCACTCGAAAATAATCCATCCTTTGAAGGGTGAATGGGTTAGCAGCCATATTGCAAGTTTGCTGGCGTCGTTGGTGTGATTTTTGATGGCAACTTCAAATTTGCCAGAGGGTGCGACGGCTTGCACGATAAGCTTTCGGCAGATTCCAGTGGTAGGGCTGATGTATCTCTGCTCTTGACCGTGCGTTGTCAATATTCCTATGTCATTGGAGCAAGTGATGTTTGAGTCTTGATGCGTGAGTGGGAGCCAGCGCATCCTAACTGTTCCTGTAAAAGCGCCGATATGATGATGAGTGCGAAGACTACAGGACCTTTGAGCTGTGAACTAGACTTACAGCAAGGAGAGAATCACAAGCAGGGTATTACTTCTCACAGCAATGCTCCAGTGTTACCTTTATATATTTCAAGTACTGTAACTCTGGATCTTTATATCGCACATGATATACCGCCATGGTAGTAGTTGCAAAGTCAGAAACCTAGTCTGATTGGACCTTGAGATCCTGAACAGGATACTATCAAGCGGCGACGGTCATCAAATGCCTGTCATATAATGACGTCGGAGTCACATAGCTCGGAGGGACTCGCAGAAGACAATGAGAATATCTGGACATGAGTAAACACCAGTGCAGGAAGGTGACACAGCAGCGAAAAAAAATAGTTTATCATTCTTTCATTCTTTCGATTTCTACAACACACCTACACTTAGCAACCTGTGGCGCATCACGGTTGAGTAAACGTACCATTCACTTTAGGGATACTGATGGTGACTAGCCTATCACTGTCAGATTTTGGACCCGTCGAAAATTATCGTGGAATATTTGTATCTCTGTTTGGTATAGTCTCGGTCGAACAGCATTGAGCGAGGGGCTCAGTCATAGTGTCGTCATGGTGACTACTACTGATGGTACTGGGGCGATCAGGCAGAGCCTGGGAGAGCATGCACATAAGTTGCGTCCGCAGCATCGAATATTTCATTCCTCACATACCATGACAGCGTCAATCAATGCATCGGCAAAAGGACTACACGAGTTAGCAAGAGAGTACCAAGAGTACGAACGACAGATACTCACCTCAGCGATGATGTTAGGACAACGTTGAGGTGAAAACGGCGAAGGCGCCATGATAAGGGACTATGCGGATCTGTGGCTGAGTGTTAATACTGTATAGCACATACATAGCACCTCAGCGCTCAGCAATGATGCGCTCACTGGTATAGCCTCGCTGCACCTAGGTTTACGTATAGTACATACAAGCGCTTCATTCGCCTTCCGACGTTACGTTTGCTGTTGGTTTTCTTATCTTGGAAATATCGTTCGAATGTCTCAGCGACGTCATACTCTTGAATGCGCGGTGTATAGCTGTCCGTGTGTGAACGAATATGTGCGCAGGTCAAGCACAGCTTTTTCAAGCGTCAGCCCTTGAAATCCGTTGAATGTCGTCGCATAAAGAGGTCGCAGGGAAAACTGTTTGCGATTTCGGTCCAGCTTGAATGCGTTGATCTGATTGAAAGAGAAGATCATGATGGGATGCGGACAATGTATCTCTCCGGTATGAGGAAGTTGATGAGCGATCGCAATAATGCTGTGCAGGTCAGTACGCATTGGAAAAAGTGGAGCACAATTTACAAAAGGAAGATAAGCGAAGAAGTTCCGGCGGGATAACATCCATCGTGTAGTTATGTGAGCGTAGATGCGGCAGCCAAACTTGAATAGCACCTAGCTCAGTGCTCCGCTGCCAATCAAAACACCTTGGCCTAGGTTTACTCCGCAGACAGACGAACAAAACGATTGGATTTTCACATTTGAGAACGCCTTTTGTCTCTGCAGTCAGCTTGCTCTCAAATTATCAAGCGATTATTTTCCAAGCGAAGACAAGATCATAGCGGAATAAAATACATCCAGTTTCCTACAGATGGATTTGTAGAGAACAGCACGAGATAGAACCCTCCCTAACTTATCATGGGAGTAGGGAATGTTGTACACATACTAGTCTACATAGCCTAAAGTTTTGCCAGTTCTACCTCCTACACTAGATCATAACACGCGGTCAATCGTTATTGGGAATCTTCCCATACACTGGGATCACGGGGAAGCGATAAAGCAGTACCTACAGCGAGAAATACAATTGCGGTCAAGAAGTAATATATCGACCATGCATCATGCCCTTTCTGCAATGAATAAGAGAATACCGAAGTTGCAGACGCCGGGCCGATGATTCTTGCTACCGCAACAGCCACCTGGGCAATTCCGTTGGTTGCTCCGAGCGAGGCGTGATTGGGAGCAGCTGCTCTGATGAATAATACCATGCAGGCTATGGGTTCTTGTCAGTTCAACAGAGTGCAGGAAGTGCTGGATTAACATACGGAAGCATATGCTCAGGATAGTCTTCAGCATAAGCTGGACGACAACACACAGCCACACCGCCATACCTATTCCATAGGCTCGAGCCAAAGCATTGGTCACTGAGAATAAAATGACCATGGGTATGCCGGAGCTGACGCCGGTGATGTGGATAGCTCTTGCACCGAAGCAATCAATTAAACGAGTGTAGAAAAGTAGCTGAAATATGCCATGTATGACACTTGATGCCGCAAGTAAAGTGCCGATGCGAGGAGGCTCAAGGGAAAGACCACCAAGTTCAATCGGTGTGGCATAGAAAACAGGTAAGACCGAATTGATCCCCATTTGAAACAGGCCTGTGGTGGCATAACTCGCTGTCACGCTCAACACTTTCGAGGTTAGTAAAGCACGCAGCGGAAGCGGCTTTGATTTGACTTCGTCAGGATCGACTATAACATTGCTCAATGGCTGGCGAGGTTTTTGTCCGAAGAGTCCTCCTTTCATGAGCTCCCAAAGCGGTGTCTTGGTAGGAACGCTCTTGTAACCACACTTAGTGTGATCCAGAGATGTGTTTTTAGCATCGCGCTCACCTCTTTAAGACGGATATACGTGACTAGCCCAATTGTCGATATAAAAAATGCCGAAATAGAGCACGGCAGGATATATGGATAGGTTTTCAGGAGTTCGGATCGCCCAAAAATGTCAGGGAATCTGTCTGCTGGTCGGGAGAGCGATCCCCCAATGAGTGGTCTAAATGCCGTCAACCTCAAGTGCGAGAGATAATGTACGGTATACCTACCCAACTGCGCCTGCGATCGTCCCCGGGATTGGTAGATAACTGCATGCCTTGGGCATATTGGTTGCGTCAGTGATGTCCATCAGCATGCTCTTGGCCATACTATCGCTCGCATCGAAAGCTCCGCAGACAATACGACTGGTCGAGAATGTCAGGAATTGATGGTCACAGCTACTATTTTGAACACACTGACCTGACCACCAGAGCGAGGAAGGTCTTCGACAGCCCAAACGAAAACATAGATATAGAGATTGCTAATAGAGCTGTCAGTATTACAGGCTTCCGCCCGATGTGGTCGGACAGTTGACTCCAATAAAAAATAGTCAGGGTATGAGCTGCATAGTATGATGATTGCTGAAGAGAATAGTATCATGGATGAACGAAAGGGTAAAAACGATGCAGACATGCTTACAAGGATGCCTGCATAGTGACCGACCTGGGATTCGTCTCCGTGAGTGACTCCAATGTCTCTGATGAGCTTGACAAAGTCCAGTTGTGATTAGATATAAGTCCAAGCAAACACGATATTCTCACCTGAGGAATAAACGGGGCAAGGGTCCGAGAAGAAAGAAGTTCTGGCGTCTCCAAGAGTAGTAGAATCCAAATTTGATCCCATGGAAGAGGTGTCTTGGCCATTAGCTGCTCTGGGCGTTGCAGAAGGGATGTCTCCTCATCATTCTGCTGCGCATTCATGGTGGTGTGAGCGAATGACTCGGAGAAAAGATGCAGTTCATTGTACGACGTGAAGTCATTCCAATGAGGCGGTTGCTGACCGACTTGTTGGCTAGCTAATCGATAAGGCCTACAACGGCAGTCAACAAGAACCTGATCAATTGAGATAGAATCAGTCACACGGCACCTCGCACCCGGGTATAGCCGTCACTGTAGCTTTATCATTGGCTCATCATGTCAGAGGCACCCAGTACTGCATGTGCCGCATTAGATCAATACGTCTGTGACTTGCGCGCGTACCTGTTTATCAGGCGCCACAGGTCCGATGACTGATTCGTTTATGGTCTGCCTAGCTGGTGGTGCACTGTACTGTATACACAAGTACACAAGTGCCAATACAACGGGGGTTCGGGCTTATTAGATGGAGAAGTCGTTCCACGACGTCGGCCGTCGCTGCTAACTCGGCGATAAAGAGTACGGCAGTCTATGAAACCACTGGTAATTGCCATGTAGCACCCAGGTATGGCCGCCTGTGTCCAGGGGGTAGGTACTCGCACCACCGCCCAGAGGATCTCAGGCTTATGGCTTGCTAACCTCCACAATCTTAAAGCCTGGGCCCACGCGAGGTGACATTAAATAGAGGAGACATAATAACAAAAAGCGGAGCCGAGTGAGTTACGCTGACCAAGATTCGCTGCCCGAATAGCCGATAAAGTCTAATGTTGATGTTTTGTGTCCGTGCTGAAACAACCACCACTTGTCACTCGACCCTAGCACTGTACCTATCACACTCAAAGTTTACACGTCAGCTACACAAATGTCTTGTTGACATCAAAGCACGCAATTACGCCCTCAGCCTCGTTCGACGTTATGGAGTATCTGGTGAGTTCTTTGACATATCATCCAATGGATCGTGTATCTTCAGTAAGTTTTTTTCGCCAGGATACCAATATTCACTGCATTCGTGCCCCCGACCTTTCCGATTCGATTCCGATGTTAAAAGGCGCGACCGTGTTATTATCATTCAAGAAATTGCTCGTCAACATCTCCATCTGAATTCTGATCGTCCTTCTGTACTAAGTCGTGAGCATTTTACTATCAAGGCTTAGTGAGATACAAACTACGGGACCCAGTTGCTCTATCAAAAAGCCTCGGAATCACTTTTCCTATAGCCCTCAAAGTCATGGGTCGGAGCTTATGGGACGAATGTCGAGTCATCATTTTCTCGACCTGCCTAATATGACAGACGTTCAGGAGAGCTTGGGAAAATGGTCAATTCCTGTGTCTCCTGGACCGTCAGCTGGATCTTTTTGTGAGTTGGCGTCGGGCGATGCCCTCTACATGTTTTCAGGTGCCTTCGTGATTACCCCACTTTACCACTTTTGCTGTTCCTCACCATTGTGCTCCAGATGTATACATTTGGATATCTCGCTTCTGACGGCACCATGTGTCGGTTGAAATCTTCGTCTCTCGTCGTCGATTTATTCCTCATGCAGAAGAGGTCTATGTCATTCCTCGCATTATGATCGAGCCGCTAGTTCTTTAACCCCTCTCGCTCTGCCATCACATGACGACTTTTAATATTTCACAAGTATCTGGATGTATTTACAATGTGCGCTGGTTCAGCTTCGCACCGAACCCTTGGGCATTATCAACTGTACATTTCTTTTCCGATACATAAATATAAATACGTAGATCTGCCAGTGAAGCGTATTGTACTCTGAGCAAAGCACATAGTGAGATATAACTGGAAGCACGGTGCGTGATTCCTTAAGATGGCCCCAGGCCTTATACAAATCAATCTCATCCAAGCGCGACCCAACCACACAACTCCATCCTCTGACTGATCTCCGTGGGCATCCGCAACACCACCTCCTTATGCAGTTCATTTTCTTTGCAGTTCTCCGAACAAAGTATAAACCTCCCAAGCCCTCCCTCCCGTCCTGCGAATATGCATACCGTCGGCGGTCGCTCAGCACGGAAATAATACATAGTCGACGAGTATGTGTCGACGAGCGTGTACATGTGTCCCGGTCCATTCTTCTCTTGTTCCTTCGCATCCTCGTATTGTTTGTCTGAGCCTCTCCGTCTCGCAAGTTGTTCCGGAGTTGAGAACGGTGAACCGCTAGGGGTGAAATACACCGTTGGGAGGTGTAATATCTTTGGAAAGTGTGCAATGGTACCCCCGTATAAGTGGCCTTCTACCGTTTCTCTGTCAATCACTCCTTTGACCCCGATCAACCACGGTTGCGCGGTGACTATACGCCCAGATTTGCCATAGAGAAGTAGTACAGGTGAAAGGAGGAGGAGGACGAATCCAAAGACAATGAATACGATGCCTCCTGCTCTGCTGATCTTTATCCACACAATCGCTGACCCGATGATAATGGATAACCAGGAGAAATACGGTACGGAACCGACAACCGTCCTCGTCAGCGAATATGTATTCGCATATGCAACATCCGGGAAGTCCTTCCATCTGATGGCTGCTGCCCGACAGCCATCCAAAACGAGAGCTCCGTTTTCCGTCACACCAGCAACTTGAATCTCTGGAAGGATGTCCCAAAGATTCGCGTCATAGATATCATTATCAGCGTACCAGCGCCGTGACGCCCCTGGAGTGGAGGTTGAGGGAAACATGGATACCATGCGCTCAGTGATACGGTCGTTATCATTGGCCATTGACAACCTCGCGAGTCCCTGTAACTCATCCTCATCGTGGTTCGGCTGAATGCGGTGCTCAAAAAAGCCCATGAGCGCATAAACTCGCTCCGCCTTGTGTGGCTTGTACCCCCCGCCGGTGACAGACCCCCCACCTACCACGTTCGACTTTGGCGGGAGAGGAGGGCCAGAAAGTGTTGGAAAACCATCCATATCACGCCGCCATATGGCTTGTTTCAAGAGTGCCAAGCGCTCCAGCCTCTCGAGCGGATCCTTCCCATTACCGTATGCATTGACAATTGCTTGCTCATCTTCGGAGTTCGTATAGGCCAGGTTAGCCAGCTGAAACAACGACAACGGCTTGACTTCTTCCCGATCCCGGAACTTGTAACAAAGCCGAGAGCTCAGGAGGGCTTCTGGAAAAGTCCATACCCGTCCGCCCCAGCTCCTCCAGCACTCCTTCTCTCCAGAGTCAGCTTCCCCGAGCATGATCAAAGTCGTCTCCGCTCTACGGTAGACGTCTGACATGCAGTACACATCCAGATTCTGCTCTGACTCAGTCTCCCCTAAACACTCCAGGTCGAGCCAGTAGGCATCGAATTGCTGTCCGATCACCGCCGCACGAACGTCGTCTGTAAACTGTGCCTTTTCTTTCTTCTCATGCAAGTCTCGAGAGTAGAAGGCGGCGGCGCGGTAAGAGATGGCGATGTATTGAGTGTGGATGATGGTGTCGCGATCTACGCATCGAACCCACTCATTCCGATTTGAGCCGCGGATCATGAGAACTCGAGGGTAACAAGTATGTGTACGGGTATTCGTCCCAGGTTCCTCCTTATGACGCGATGAATGCTCCGTGCGAGAACGAGCTGCCCACAGCTGACCCTGAAACTGGCGAAGATACGGTCTGTAGTATCCTGTGTTGTACGATGTGTCTTCATCCTCCCCAGAGTTACTACTGCTGAAGTAAAGTTCCACGAGAAACCAAATGATTGGCCAAAATAGCTTCAATGCAAACCAGAAGAATTTTCCGATCCACTTGAAAAAATTCTGCCCTCTTACGGGAGAATGGGTTAGCAGCCATATGGCGACTTTGCAGGCCTCGCTAGTGTTATCCTTGATGGCAACTTCATATTTGCCAGAGGGTGTGACAGCTTGTACCTTGAGCTGTCGGCAGAGTCCAGTTGTAGGACTGAGGTATCTCTGTTCTGGACCATGCGTTCTCAACCTTCCTATGTCATCGGAGCAAGTGATTTCCGAGTCTTTATGCGTGAGTGGGAGCCAGAGCATCCTAATTGTTCCTGTAAAAGCGTCGGTGTGATGATGAGTGCGAAGACTACAAGACCCTTCGAGCTGTGAACCAGACTTACAGTGAGAGTATCACAAGCAGGGTGTTACTTCTCACAGCGATGCTCCGGTGTTACCTTTATATATTTCAGGTACTGTAACTCTGTGTGTAGGCCGCATATCATCAGTGAATTGATGATGTATTATATATTGCTTTAAATAACCTTCTCATTTGTTCATCGGTTCTCTGATGATGACATGCCGCCATGGCAGTTGCAGAGTTAATCCCGAACGAGACTTGAACAAGACACCCCCCAGCGGTGTCATCAAATGCCTGTCACATCATATGATGTGGGAGTGACATAGCTGAGAGACTCAGTTCAAACATTCCGAGTCTTGGGCGCAATTTTCATCAACTAGTAGCATCAGTAGGGACCGTAGGATTGACGTTTTAGCTGCGGATTTCCGTGATGTACAGCGAGATGACATGCATAGATTAGTCGCAGCAGAAGACAATATTGAGAATATCTAGACATGAGTAAACACGAGCAGGTGGCAGAAATAGTTGTTACATATCTTGTTTGTTGTATTGTTACGACATACCCACACTTGGAGTAGTGTTGTCAGATTAATGCCGTCCTGCCATTCGCCGTGACAGGATTTGAAAAGGTACCAACCGCCCTGTTGCCTACCGATGGTAACTAACCTATCCCTGTCAGAGTCTGCACTCGTCGAAAAACTATCGTTGAACACTGTATCCCTGTTTGGTAAAGTCTCGGTCGAACAGCATTAAACGAGGGACTCAACCCTACTGCTGACTTATGGTGCTGGGGAGACCATGCGGAGCTCAGTGGAACATGCACATAAGTTGCGTCCGCAGTATCAAATGTTTCATCCTCACAAACCATGACAGCGTCAATCAGTGCATCAGCACTTCGGCTGTGATGCGAGCTTCTACAAATGAAAGATGAACTATTCCAAAATAATGTCCGACAAAGGGTGTATATAACGACCCAAAAGGACTACAAGAGAGTACTAAGAGTACAGACTATAAATACTCACCTTAGCGATGATGTTAGGACGACGTTGAGGTGGAAACACTGAAGGCGCCATGATAGGTAACTTTGCGAATCAGTGGCTAAGTGTTGATACTGTATAGCACATACATAGCACCCCCAGTCATCATGCGCTCACTGGCACAGCCCCGCTGCAGGTCCACTCAAAACACCTTGACCTATGTTTATGCATTAGCACATATATAGCACCTCAGCCATGATGCGGTCGCTGGCATAGCCTTATTGTACCTAGGTTTATGTATAGTACATACCAGCGCTCCGTTCGCCTTCGAATGTTATGTTTTTTTTTCCTCTTCTTCTTTTGGAAATAGGGTTGGAACCGTCTCAGCGGTATCATATTCTTGAAAAGCGCGTATATTTTCTCGAGCGTCAGCGCTTGACAACCGTTGGATGTCGTCGCATATACAGGTCAAAGGAGAAACTGTTTGTGATTTCGGTGTAGCTTGACTCGGAACGCGCCGAATTGGAAGATAAGGTGATGCAAGGCAGGCAATGTATCTCTGCAGTATGAGGAAACTGAACCTCCACGAATTTGCGTAGTTACTAGGAGATAAATGAGTAATCGCAGTGTTGTTGAGCTCAGAAGGTACGCATTGGAAAAAGCAGGGCACAGTTGCAAAAGGAGGAGTAGAGAGACGAAAATAATTTGACAAATGCACGGGATCTGTAGCGGCCAAATTATGTAAAATCTTCATTTCATTTCTGTACCTGACTCAATCAGCTTGCCATCTCGAGGCAGGCGAGCGTGGATGGCCAAATAATAGCACCTCAGGCCTCAGGGGTCAGCCATGATGCGCTCACTGGAATAGCCTCGCTGCAGCACCTTGGCCCAAGTTTACAACAATGCAGGCAGATTGACATAGTAGTGATAGTGAATGTTTTATTTGGAGTCGGAGTTACACTGGCCAATATGTGCTGTCTCATTGGCAGGTTATGATATCCTGACTGGTGAACATAGGCTCGTGATTTCATTGGGGTGTGCTACCCTATGTTGGACAATACTAACGAGTCTAATATACCGCAAAGTTATTTGACCGCAAGAAACTGAAACTGTCAATATTTGCTCTACGAGCTGTCCTGGGGAATAGTGTAAGAGATATTTAAATAGGAGATAAATTGAGAATAGCGCACTGGAAATTGACAATGGACAGGCAAGTGGATGCTCATCTGCAGTCAAGACGTCAAGCTTTCAAGCTTCAAGCTTCAAGTTTCAACGGACGGTACCAGTAGAATTCAGCCTGGAAATTGTTCTAGCTCCTTAAGTATGGTACGAATAGTTTAAAGTTTGTTTTGAAGTGTTGACATGCGATGTCCATGTTTCAGCGTCAAACAACCCCAGATTTGTACCTCTGCTCTTGAACCTTCCCTCCGAATACTTGAAGTTTACATGCCAGCTACACAAATCTCTCGTAGATATCAAAAGCACATGGGAATGTGTCCGCAGCCTTGTTCGATGTTATGAAGTATCTCGTGAAACATTCGACAGATCGACTCGGATCATCCGACGGACTGCACGTACTATTGTCATTGTTTTCGCAAGGATACCGATATTCACGTTCAGGCACTACATTCCTGCGGCCCTTTCCCATTTGATTCCGATATTATAAGACGCGATTGTTTGTCATTTTCATCTAAGAAATTGCTTATCGACATCTACAGATGAATTCTGATTGCCCTTCTGTATTTCGCTACTTATCAAGTCTCGAGTTACGAGTGTAGACCAGGAGCGAAGGCTCAAAAATACGTGAACTTTATGTAATACATGATAGAACTCAACGTTGTATACAGTGCACACATATCAAGCCAAACGTTCAAGAAGTTACCACCAACGCTTTTCAGAACACTTTGAGGTGACGACACCTAGTGTCAAGGCTGCGGGTTAAGATTTGCGCTGTAAATGTGGTCAGACTCAGAGGCCATGTCATATTTTCCAACAGAGCCTGATTTACTGTGTCCCAGAATTGCATCTTTGAACACTGATAAGTTGCCAGAAGAGACTGGACGTGGTGCAGCGTACTAGGGGTTGAATTCATACCGCACATACAAAACTAGACTACATAGAGTACGTACGGTCCAGCATAGGGCCCCGCCCCACTTGACAAGGATATAAAAAGGGGTTAAATTTCCACTTTAAGTCTGCTTTCACACGAAACATTACTATTCCCACGCTCCCAGCCTCCCCTACTGAATCAACCTCGGCACGCCCACCGGTATCACCACCGTCTCCAAATCCTCAAGAAAACGTCAAGATGGTGAGTCTCGCTGCCAATTCGACGTCCGATAGGTCTTGGTCCATGCGTGCCAGCTCCCTGGGTGAAAAAATGGGATAGAATTGGATGGTTGATGGGTGGATGGAGATGATTTGTGTTGGATGACATTTGTGTCAGTGGGAGTGGTGGACGTTATTTCGCGTGTTTGGCTGGTACACCCACTACTTCGTATTTGCTGACGCCCGTTTTATTCTCTAGACGAAAGGTTCGTTTGGTTTTGATTCGATTGTTGGGGATTGGATTTGACGGATGGCTTTTGATCTTGGATCTTCTTGCTGTTGATTAGGTACTTCGTCCTTTGGGTGCGTAGTGTTTTCCCTTCGATCTGGAGTATCCCTCATGCGGTTTGATTTGAATCGTGCAGTAAGCGACACACTAAGTCCCACACGCTCTGCCGGCGTTGTGGTCGTCGTGCGTTCCACAGGCAACACAAGAGTGCGTTCCTACACATCTTTGCGAGACGGCATCTGACCTCACATTTTCTCGTCCCTGTCCTGTCATCACGCCCTCCATCCCGATTTACGCTGAACAATCCGCTATTATCATGAACCAGCCTGTGCCCAGTGCGGCTACCCTGCAGCAAAGTTACGCTCGTATGAGTGGGGCCAAAAAGCTAAGCGCAGAAAGACCACCGGTACCGGGCGCATGCGCACGCTCAAGGACGTATCGAGGAGATTTAAGAATGGATTCAGGTGCGTTCCATCCCAGTCATGTTCATCCTAGCCAACGTATTAATCATATGATGCGTGAACTTTTGCGATACAGAGAAAACACCGTCGCGAAGAAGCGTGTCAGGCCATCCGCGGAGGCATGAGCGTGAGCGGAAACTTGCATATGCCGATGTCGTGTTTGCATGTTGTTTTACATACTTGAGAATTTTTAGCCTATGCTGCTCGCATCATTTTCTACGCACGCACAGAATACATGATTCATGCCATGCCTCCTTGTCGAGCGGAGGAACTGAGTGATAATGCTAAAGGTCAATTGGTGTCCCCTTTGTCTGATACGTCAATTGACGTCCAGTAGTCTCTTCCACTCACTTGAAATTCTCATCCGAAACGTACTTGTTCATTCCATTGTATTGATCGCTCTACATTGACTAAGCCGTGCAATAATCCGCAATTAACTATTTATCATGTGTAGTCCCCGTTCCAGCCGATGGGTATCTTCAGCGCATGTACAATGAACGAATGCTGAAGACCGAAATAAAAAAAAGCAAAATACCGATAAATACTTCTCGCTCGGTCCCCCGTCCGCGGTGCATCCACCGCTACTGCCCACAACACGACGTCCCCCGAGCATTCCTCTTCCTCTTCCCATCCTCCAACCCCAACCTGACCGTATTCCCATCACTCTCATCACTCACATGAAACATCCTCGCCTCCACGGCCTCTTCATACTCCCACTTCCTCACCACGCGCAACGCGATATACTCAAATGCGTCGCTTACACCCGTTCCGGTCTTTGCGGATGTGAAGAAGAGCTTTGGGCCTGTGTCTGGTGGGTCAGGGAGGGTGGAGGGCAAGGGAAGGTCTGGGTCTAGTTGGGGCGGGGTGGGTGGTGTAGGCGGACGTTGACCCCTCGTGAATAGACTCGGTGTGATAGTAAGCGCAGACGAAGAAGACGTTGTCGTAGTCGTAGTAGTCGTACTAGACAAACTCGTCATCCTCCTCACTCGTGCTGGTGATCCCGGTTGGGACCCGGGAAGCGGAGACGACCGTGCGCTTGTGTATACGTCAGAGAGGGAAGAAGAGGGGGTATGGAAAGAGGTGACGCCGGAGCGGAATGTTCCGTACAGAAATGTGTTGGCGTGAGATGTACTTGATGGAGAACGGGATTTTGTAGGTTTGCGGTGGTTTTGGATGTCTATTCGCGCAGATGGGGCGAGGAGGGATGGGTCGGCATCGGCTTCGTATTCGTATTCGTGCTCGTGCTCGTGTTCGGGAATGATATCTTCGTCTTCCTCTGAAATGAAGTCTTCTACCACGATTTCTCCCTCCTCGCGCTCCACAGGCTCTGGTTCAGAAATAGGCACAAGGTCCTGCACGAATTTCTTCGCTTCCTCCGCAGTGACGCCCATCCCGGGCTGTAACAGATCCATCTTATTCCCAACGACCACACAACAAAAGTTATCAACCTCTTCATCGCTAATCGGTGCTCGGTGCTTAAACTCCTCCCACCATTTCGTGAGCGCGTGCATAGTCTCGGGTGCACTGACGTCGAACATGAGTAGGACGGCGTCTGCGCCGCGGAAGAACGCGGAGGATAGGGATGAGAAGCGTTCTTGGCCTGCAGTATCCTATCGTATGCGTGAGCGAATGTAAGGTATAAAGGGAGCTCGAACCAGACCTACCCATATTTGAAGAGAGATGGCCTCGGTTGAGTTTTTTGGGTCAGGAAGAGATTTGGTTATGAAATCTGCACCGATTGTTGCGCGGTAAGCGGTGGAAAACCGACCTGATATGTACTGCGCAGCAGTAGATAATAAGTATGCTCGAGCTAATGTTGAAAGGCGGAATACTGACCTGACCACGCAAAGAAGTCTTGCCTACGCCCGAAGCACCGATGACGACGAGCTTGATAGTTCGCATTGCTCCCCGTGTTCTGCTCGTCGTTGAGCATGAATGATCTATAACGTTCGGCGGCCAATTGCGCCATATGGTGCTCTCTTCTAAGTTCACCGGCACCGGTCGTTCTCACTCAACGCAAAACCAAACAAGCACAAACCCTTGACATCGACTTTAATCATGAACGAGTCAACGCCTCCAGTGTCCACCGACGTACCCCCCAACCAGTGGACCAACTTGAACATTCACGAGACTGATATAACTACTCAACTGAATAATGTCATCAACCCTTGATATATTTCAAGAACAAGGTACGTGCAACATAACGTAAGAACGTAATGACAAGACCTCGAAAACCTCGTTAGCTCTGACTTAATGGAACAGGGACGGACAAAGTCTCTTGACCATAAGCAGAAGGCGCTCGCCGATGTGAACGCCAACAACGACTGCAACGTTACCTAGACTCAACTCGGGTTGTTCATTACCCAACATCCAAGTTTCATCAGTGCCGCACTGATGAAACTTCGCTCGTCCGTCATTTTCGCTGCCCTCGTTGCTCTCCGGTGATCGAAAGTGTGTTTTTGAGCCTACGCTTTGTGTGACCACCATCGTCTTTCCCCACCAAAGCTCGCCTTCCCTCCACCAAACTCATCTTACATCATTCCGCAGACAACGCCAGACACGCCGTCATCGAGTTATCCAACATTATATTTTCGACCTCAACTGTATCTCTGAGATCGTACCGCTCGTATGTTATCGGTATTACCATCATCAGATATTTCAAAAGACAAACCTACGCCGGTACCGCCACCCTCCACCATCATCCTTGCACTTGTAAATGGCAATAATCACTCAAACGTGTTGTCCGCTTTGGGATCCTTCGTTTGAATTTGGAGCCGCATAAAGACATGTCTCCTTTTTTTTCTTTGCTTTTTCTTTTCATATCTCCTCATCTTGTGCGTCATGTTCCACAAATCACCTTCTGTCTCGTGCTATCTACTAAGCAGAATAAGGCTAAACAGACACTCCATTGTGACTAGGCGAATGCAGGAAGTGGCGGGAGGGCCTCGCCGAGGTCACGCCCTGGCGCGGGAGCACGAGTCAACGCGAAGCTTCGAGGCGTGGAATCAACGCCAGGCTTCATTTGGTTGGGCCGTAGAACACGCGATTGCAAGGTGCTTGACCTTATACATGAGCAGAAACTTCCTTACAGAGCGGTGTTGGAGGTCTTGACCAACGCCAAACGGAGGTAATGCACGTTCCTTGTTCTTAATATTTGGAAGCCGGAGTGGTGCTTACTTCGGAACGGTAACTGGGCACCTACGACACCCGGTGCCCCTATGTGCGAAGAAGCCAGGCACTTTGCTGCAACTTAAGCTTATCCTTAGGGACCATATGCGTACGTCTGTAGTCGTGCTGTCCTATAAAAACCATCACTTTACTGTAACGCTTCGACTCTCAATCGTCGCCAGCATGTCCCAGCTCCAATTGAATGCCGCAGAGGACCTGATCAACGCCAATGAGAGGTGGGCACGAGACGTAATCAAACACGATCCCAATTTCTTCAAGGACTCTGCTACTGATTCCCAAAGGCCCAAGGTGGGTTCCGTGCCTCATCGCACGCCCCTACGTTAGCTGTCTTCTTACTGCCATTTAGGTCCTTTGGATTGGCTGCTCTGACTCGCGAGTGCCGGCCTCTGTCGTCACAGCGTCCATGCCTGGCGATATCTTTACACACACAAACATCGCAAAGTACCCACCATTCATTCAACTCTGAGAAGTACATAGTACTCACTATCCCTACAGCCAATTCCACAGCTTTGACGACAACGTCAACTCCGTCCTATCCTACGCTGTCGACCCGGTCGGCGTCAAACACGGTCAGTCTCTTGTGATAATGTTTTGATTGTCCTCTAACAGGTTTACACTTTCAATAGTCGTCCTCGTCGGCCACAGCGTCTGCGGAGGTGCCCAATCAGCGATACAGGCTGCTGAACAAGGGCCCGTAGAGCCCTACGACCCACTCACGCGTTGGTTGGCCCCCCTCGTTCAACTCGTTCGAACCCTCGACCTCCACGGGTTGCCTGAGAATGAGGCGGTGGACAAGGTCGTTGAAGCCAACATCCGCAAGCAGGTTGAAAACATTTGCCTCTCAGAGCCCATTGTTACTGCGTGGGCAACCGGGAAAAATGTCTCTGTGCACGGATGGGTGTACGATCTCGCTACGGGACGAATCAGAGAGCTTGTCGTGCGATCCCCTCCGTGTGCTAATGCTAGTTCTTGTTAGTATTACGATCACTGGACCTTTGCGAACATACTCCGTTTGATGCATTCTTTGTAGATACGTTGAAGATGTAACTGATCAATATGTACAACTTTACATCACTTTGCTTCCCACATGTTCATTTGAAATGCGGCACTGCCAGAGCCTGCAAGTGTTCCGTTGTACGTAAGTGGATGAGTGGATATTTATAGATAGTTGTGATAAGGAGTTAAAAGAGACAGGACATTTTCAGCACATCGTTCAGTCGGACTATAGTAAATTCAGGCTCAGTGATAGCACAAGGGTCCGAGGAGTCAGGCCTACTACTAACTTGCGGACAAGCCTACCTGCCTGTTCTGTTCATTGTAATCAGGAAGCACGGGACTATCGCTGCTGCTGTTAGAGGCATCATAGTGGGAATGGCTGTATGTCATGACATCACCGATCCAGTTTAAAGTTTTTGAACCATGTCGCAACAGCTCAATTCTGCCCTGGATGAATTAACAAGATGAATTACCAATGAAAGAGATCATAGCTGCAGTACGTGACGACAACTTCAATAGAGCTGAAAAACGCAAGCGCAGTGACTTAATTAGTGGCTACCGTGCAAGTTTCGACGGACACCCATTTGCCGAATTGATCATATCAGCAGCGAACAACAAGGCAGCGATGTGCTCGGACGTTGAAAATGGTGCCAGCGTCACTGTACCGCCGGAAAAATCCGAGACCATGCAGGGTCAGATCTCAGATTCGGCAACGCCGAACCCTATTAGTTCCTGGAGCCCATCACTGTATCAGTCTAACTTCGAGACACCGCATCTAGGCCTGCAGAAACCAAACAAGTCCAAATCTTTGACTTGAACTTGGATCGAATTTTTAGTGACATTGAATAAACGTGTTCGAATGCGTCCAAACGCTGAACGCAAATAGTAAGATTATCATCTAACTGATCCATTGTGAACGTCAGTCCAGGACTGAATTTTTCCATCACTAGTACTGCGGCGGCAACGCAAGTGGGAGCCTCGTGTCTGGGGCGTCTAATGAGGCACGAGTTGGGCACGAGGCAGAGAAAGATTGATGAATGTTGTAATTCAAATCCGCATAAGAAGTTCCGCCCAGTTCACGAACTTCTGCAACCTAGTACCATACGCTTGCAATCCTTCGACCAAGTCTACCTCGATTGTACCCCATAAGATCGACCTCCAATCAAATGGCGCCGCTCGCTCCAAGCACCACGCCAGTTCGAGTGTTTGAAGATCACGAAGCACGTATAAACGCAGTCGCAGTTCTACCTGATCAACGGCGCATGGTCACAAGCTCGGATGATAATACGCTTCGTCTGTGGGACTTGAAGGAAGGTGCTGTGTTGAAGAAAATGGTGGGGCATCGTGCCAATGTGAAAGCATTGGCGGTATCACAAGATGGGCGGCTAATAGCCAGCGGTGATCTGAACGGAAAGCTCATTGCTTGGCATGGAGACACCGGAGATAATCTCACCCCAGCTATCGAAGCTCACGAAAACATCCATTCCCTGGATTTTTCTCCAGATGGCTCAATGCTAGCAAGTGGTTCATGGGACGACACGACCAAGCTGTGGAACACAACTACGTGGAAACCGTCAGGAGCACCGATCAGTTGTGGTGCAGATGTCAACTGCGTTCGGTATTCACCATCCGGCGAACTGCTTGCCATTGCAACAGACCACAATATCCAGATTTATCAGCTACTAGGCAGGCGTGACTGCATCGCGAAGTTTAAGGGTCACGCGGCATCCAGCTCAACATACAACTATTCTCTCGCCTGGACGCCCGATGCTACACGCCTTCTTTCAGCGGGCAATAATAATGATTGTACCATACGAGCGTGGGATTCATCGACCTGGGAGCAGGTTGGTGATCCATGGACAGGTCATACCGGTGCTATCAACTCCATTGTCGTCGATGCTTCTGGCACGCTCCTTGCATCTGCATCTAGTGATAAATTTGTACGCCTCTGGCGGCTCTCGGATCGGCCAATGCAGCACTCCAGCAACGTGCAGTGCGTCGCCTTCTCCCTAGACGGCAGGCACATCCTCAGCGGAGGTGATGATCTCAAGATCTCAGAGTGGGAACTACCCAATGGACTGTCACTGGTAAGTGCCCGGTGATTTCTTATCCTCGGTCTCATCTCACAGATTTGATGAAAAGGCTCAAGGCTCTGGTTTCAAGGCATGTATCTACCTTTGACTCTTGTTGTACAACGCGAACATACTTCACGTAGATCCTTGTTATCAACGCGGCAGCCCGCAATGCATGTATAACTGGGGACCTGCCTGCTGCTATACAATTGTTCACACAGAAAATAGACGCCGATCCCAACAACTTTGATTCCTATGCCAATCGTTCATTCGTCATGGTGAGACAGTTTGCCTGGAAGGACGCACTTCAGGATGCAACCAAGGTAAGATACACCGACCCATCTCGCCCCACTTAATACGGGCTAACCTGGATGGTGACATAGTCGGTCAGCATCAAGCCTTCCTTGATCGGCCATATCTCCAAGGGCATCTCCCTATGTGGAAACCAGCAGGTGCACGATGCAATGGCAGAATTTGACCTTGCGTTCGCGTTCACGAACGCAGACCCAAAGACGACTCATTTCCTTTTCTTGATCAAGGTAGGTGATTTTCGAATTATACTCTACACTTCATCATGGTTTTTCAGGTCATCGCATTGTTCAATACCAATCCCTGCGAACAGACCATGCTGCCTATCCAAGAGCTAGCTGCTCGTCCCAATGCCGATCCTCTCGCTTGTCGTGTCGTGGAAGTGAGTGTGATACATTCCGTTAATACCATGATCGTGTACTCACTGAATTTCCTAGACGCATATGCGAGTCCAGCTTGGGACCATTGCCATGGATGGCGCGCTTCACAGGGATGCTGCTGGCCACTTTACTGCCGCGGTCAACGCTGGCGCTTCCTTTTCAAAATTGGACATCCATTCTATGTACGAGGACTTTGTTGTGGTACGTTGATATGATGCGACAATCTGATCCATGCTCAACTGCGTGCTTGTGCAGCTTTTCGGCTGGGACCTCAAGTCCTTGTGGCAAACCGCAAACCAACAACGCTGTCACGCACTCGTTCGGGCAGGTAAAGTTGGGGCTACCCTCGAAGCGTATCGATATATGATGGACATGAGTGATGAACCTACGAAGGCCATCTTCCGTGCTTGGGTTCCTGGCAAGTCTTCTGCGTGCCACTCATACTGCAATTCTCACTTATGTGTCTTTTAGCTCTCGATGAAGAATGAGCTAAATGCCCACAAAGGTGTTGCCCTCGCGACGAGTACCCTTCTGATTTGTACCCGGAACTGTTTATGTGCTATATCACAACATGCAAGTAGACCCAAGATCATGGAGTATTCCCTACGGACTTGATAGTATGCAACAACTTCCGAGCCAGTATAGTGATGTTTGGACAACTCGCTGTCAAGAGTTTCAAAGTTGACACAATCCGCTACTTGCTTATGGTTATTGCCGATGATGCTAGTTATCGAACAAAACTGACAAATAGATATGGATATCACGAGAGTTTGAGGATGGGAGAAGAAACGTCTTGTGAGCGTACACAATATTACCGAAGGAGTTTGTGCCGGTAACACAGTGGTGAACTTTACCGGGTCAGATGGTTCACCAAGTCACTTGTCCACATTGGCGATGTTTAGCATTCAAGATCTTAGGATCGGGTTGGTGTCGTGCCTCTACGTCCGTCCAAAAACGTAATTTTTCGTCCCGGGACGACGTTTTGATCGGCCCAATGTGCATCAAAATTCTGCACTTACCTCAAGTAAACATGCACTGCTTGTAATACGCAGCCCAAAGTATCTGTTCGTACTTTTATTTTTCTTATCGAACTAACATCTACTTGCTTACCAAATTTGTACATCATGCAACGTGGCACTTTTTCCTCGAGTGGTGATGTCACTCAAGGAAAAAGTGCCACGTTTTTCATCATGTGACTGCGGGGCGATCTAGAAGTCTTTGACTTTAACTTCGACTTTCATCATGGACGAGTAAACGCCTCCACCGCCAGATATCGACGCCTCCACACCTCCACCCCCACCATCAGCACCAACAAGCACACCAACATATTTATTGAAAGGCGTGGTCGGGAAAAAGGTCTAGAGGGGCGTTCAGTCTTTGCAATGGTGGCATTATGGTGCTGAGGTGCGCAGAGGTACATGTCATCGGATCTTGGCTTTGAACGTATGCAGAAGAGGAGGCAAAGGCGGATGAGACTTGGTACATCCAGTCGAATTAGCGGTGGATCGAAGTCCTCGTCGCATGGGGTGAGCTACCGTTCACCTTGAAGCGCCAGGATTTAGCTCACATACAAGTAAGGTGCACGAATTTCCACCACCACATTATTGATGCTTCATTGTTTGAATTGACCGTCTCCGACACGAAGATGAGCATCGATGTAGGCAGCCTAACGCTTCATATATTGTATGTCACAGGAGACACGTGGATTCATAGATGGAATAGAAATACGTGTCCCGCGTGAGTCTTGTAGCGTCAAGGTATCTGCGTCAAAGATATTGATATAAAACTTTTCACATATTGTTTCCGTCCCATTGTCTTTACTCCAATGTTCTGACGAGGTGGTCCCATGGGATGGAAGTCCATTCTTAACATTCGTCAGGTGCTGGTAATATGCCGGTAAGCCTGACGAGCGAACATTGTTCTGGACCCAAGCATGAGGAAGCGTCCTAGTTCTTGAGACGAAACATATTGAATTGGTTTTCCAAGCCTTGGAAAGGGAACGCGATCAAGTGCTTTAGCGAGAACGATATCATTCTTGAGTATGATGCGTTAGTTGTGTGTGGGTGCGATTGTACATAGAGAGCGAACCTTGAATAAATGATACACGAAGAAAAAGCATATGACTGATGGCCCGTATCCGGTATGTGAGTGTCACGGACGGAGACTAGAAGTGTATCTGTAGATCCGAGGAAAGAAGATAGCGCCGCGGAGCCATAATT